GTCAAAATAAAGGATTTAAAAAATTGCTCCGTCTCACCAATAAAAATTAACACTAAAAAGAAAAGTGATTTCATAAACATGTTGCCGCTAGTGGATTAAATTTATAGACTTCTATATAAATTTAACATCAGAAGATATGTTAGATTGTCATCCAGATTTGACCGAATACGATGAAAATAACGAATAATTATTTATTTTGCAACAAAGTATTCCCAAACTTAATTGAAAAACTTGAATATTTTTTTTTTTGCTTATTAAATACTATGAAATTATTATTATTTTAAATAAAGAAATAACTGAAAATGTATATTTTTAGTTTACGCAGTTTTTGTTAAAGAAAGAAATAAAACAAAAATCGTATATCCATTTACTTACTTGTTTCAATTTTAACAGAAGCTCTTCTGTCCAGTTATAAATTTTAGAACTCTTGTATCTCTTTCGTGACAAAATCTTAAGTCTAATTAAGGCATCTTTTTTTTGTAATCTCGTTTCACAAAACATCTTAAATACAAAACAACGAAAAAAATATACTTCTAAAGGAAATATTTCTCAAAATCAGTCTGCTTTGTCTTAGAATATAGCGAAACTACATCTTGGGCTAAAAATATTTTCTAAAACTCCAACGTAATAGATTTTACACAAAATCGTTAGTATCTCCAAACACGATTTTTAGACTTAAGATGTTATGATAAAACGACTCAGACATGTATTAAATCATTCACTGAAAATCTGTAGTTAACTGCTACTTCTGAGTTAACTACGCACTGTGAATTTGTCCCTTAATGACGCAGCAAAATTTTTAACCAACGCTTAATATAAATGTTTATACATTTTCATTATTTAAATTTAAGCATTTAAACGAAACCCTGTTTTAAAATGTGGCACCCAAAATGCTACATAGTTCAACAAATTTTCATTACTTTTTCTAACAAATTACTATCCGGCATTAGTAAGGTTGAGTTGGTTGGGTTAGTATGTTTATTTACATACAGTGACTCAAACACGTGTTGACTTTTTTTTTTAAATATTCGTATCTAATGTTTTTCGAGCAAACTTTTTTTTTGCAATTTTTCTATAAAAATTACGTCCAAGCTTTAACCCAAACCATATAAATCACAATTTCAAACTTTATATAAAATTTAATTCAACAAAATTTTCTTCAAAATTTCAACTTTTTAATCTAAACCTTTACATTTTTCAAATTTTCAAAAAATCAACGACATTTTTTGGAAATTGCACTTGTTATATACACAAAATTCTTAATCATCAACGCGATTTTTTCAGCTGGTTAAAACTTCCACTTATTATGGGCTATACCCAAAAATTTTCTAAAGATTTAGATTTAAATGTTGAAATTTTGATAAAAGTTTGTTGAATTTTTACAAGTTCTGTATAAACATTGAACTGTTATTTAAATGGTTTTGATTAAAGCTTGGACGATATTTTTATAGAAAAATAGCAAAAAAAAAAATCAGCTCGAAAAACATAGCGAATATTTAAAAAAAAATAACACGTCATTTGTTTGAGTCACTGTATAAATTTGTTATGGGAAAATCGCCGATATAAGGGCATTAAGATCTCTTTTATGGCGTTTACGTTTCTACCGAAAATTCCAACCTTTTCACACTAAGAAGAGTGCAACAGAGAAGGCAACATTTTTTTGTAGAAACGAAAACGCCATTAAATTTATTACAATTTTTCCTAATCGCACATCATTACATTTCTGATTTAAAAGAAAAGCAGTTTTGAGAAAGTCGTACCGATTGAGTTCAGCACAAAAACTATTAATTATTGGCATAAAATTTCATGACAGTTTTTATGTAAACCATCCATATTTTGAGGCATATAAAATGCTTTTAATATATCTACTTATAGAAATCCGATGAACGTGTAACCGCTGTACAACTAGTGGAATTGTCCACCAGATGCGTATTACTGACCGAGGACGAAGGAAACCCGGAGTTAAATTGCGAAAATAACCGAAATTTTGTCAATACTCAGGTGTGCGCACAAACGACCAAATGTTCGATACCTATACAGATAATAAGCGATGATGATGATTTATTCAATATAAGCGATACTGTGCTAAAAGATATTACAATGTAGTTGTTAAGTATTCCACATTCATATTCGAACACACACATCCCATAGTTTATAACATATATACATACAAACATACAAACTTGCATTTTATTACAATTTTGGAAGGTTTGGACTTTTTATATTTCGAGTCCACACTACAACTCGAGCATAAATTAAAATTTCTTCTTAATATCAATGAAATTTTGATTAAAATGTTTCCATAATTAACTTTAAACCACCTATTCGGCAATGAATGTAGGTCTTTGTTTGGGCTTGTATCCTATCTCGCCTAATTCACAGACGATTGGCTTAATGTGTGGAGTCAGATGTGGTCGCTGGTTAAGCTCCATGGTGGCTTTCGATTTTTTGTAATTCAATATATTCATTGCATTTTGGCGCTGTGCGTAGTATAAATCGTCATATGGGTTTATCTTATTTTCTGTGCTCTCTTTTTCTGTACCAGTGATGCTTATTGTTGCTTTTGTTGCTATTCCATTTACATCACCATCAATTGCCGATCTCAGTTCAGAAGTGGGTAAGACTTTTGTGGCTTCATCTACGACCATTCTTTGCACAACATTTCGCAGTTCTTCGCGTATAATCTCCGTGTTGATTTTGAATTTTTTCGCTTGCAAATGGCGCAATTTCGGCACAGTCTGCAGCACAGTTGAAATGCGTTCCTCCAAGTTTGTGATGCGTTGCTCCAATATTTGAAAATTCTCAACGATTAATTTGTTCTTATCTGTCTCGTTAAGCATTTCGACTGTTACTTCGATCTCTTGACTATCAGGCGGCAGAGATTCAGCACTAGTCGTTGTACTCTTGCAGTCGATTGTCACTTTTTCGCGCAGACAGCGCTCGATCAGCGCATCAATTTCCTCCTTGCGTATAAACTGATCAGTGACACATAGTTCCTGCAAAATGTTTTGCACCTCTTCGCGTACCAAACTTGTTATGGAAAAAGTGTTATAAAAGTTTTTTTCAGAAAGACTCGTACTCGATTGGGAGCCGTCAAATTCCATCATTGCCTTAACAATTTCTTGTGTCAAAGGAATCAAACGCTGTTCACTATTCTGCGGTGTACAATGATCGCTAGCAATGCTAGTTAAAGATTTCTCTTCAGTGGACTCAATCTGCTGCTGCTGCTCAAGCGTTTGCTCTGGATAATGGAAATCGCTTTCCATAAACTGAACAATTTATCCTATAGTCGCTTTGCCTATCGCTATTTTCACTATGGGTTTCTTCTGTTATGTTGTTTTTTTTCAAATGTTTTGAACTTTTGCACACTTAAAATTTTGCTTTTTAAACTTCAAAGACAAATAACTTTTAATTTATGAATACACTATCGAGAGTCAAAATTTATTAGCTTTTTCTAATGTAAAATTCAAAGCTACTTATATCCTAAGCTAGGAGGTGAAGGGGGCGTGAGTAAACTTTGGTCAGCCGTGAAGTCACTGTTCAATCCGACAAAGCGCGGCGATAGAGTCGAAATCACTTTCGGCGACCGTGCTTCGTCGGACCCGTAGCGATGGGCGAGCTACATATTTTAGCCGGCATTTCATACTGCATCCTCGAGTGGACAAAGCCAAGCGTCGAGTGACCAGAAGGCTGCACAAACTGCCAACAACTAGTGCGCCTCTTCTTTTCACTTGCGGTGAAGTTCAGGTAGATATCGGGAAGACGAAAGCCTCCAAAGCCATGGAACCCGACGGAATATGCATGTTGATGCTGAAAAATTTGGGTCCTGCGGGAGTCGACTTTAGCCAAGGTTCTCAACCTATCAATGGCCACTCTCGTCATTCCAGACATCTGGTAGATGGAAAGAGTGGTCCCACTGCTCAAAACGGGGAAACCATCCAACAAAGGAGTCTTATCATCCGATAATACTTCTTTCCCCAGTAGCGGAGACACTAGGGGCCTTGCTACTCCCATTTTCTGCGAACCACCTAACCCACAACAACAGCACTTAACGCCATAAACACTCAGATAACACGTGGCCTAAACTGTAACCGCCCCTGTGAGAGAACTTTTCTAGTAGCGTTGGACCTGTCAAAGGCGTTTGATACCGTCAGCCACTCCACGCTGCTAGAAGACATAGAGGCCTCCTCTCTCCCACAGAGACTCAAATGGTGGTCGGCGAGTTATCAGAATGGTCGACACTCGTCAGTAATGTTTAGACAAATCGAGCAAATCTAGAAAAATAAAACAGGGGTTCCACAGGGTGGTGTTCTTCCCCCATTACTGTTTACCTATTATGACCCCTATTGCGAGTGTCGACTGGTAGTAGATAAATTACTATTATTTGATTATCGCTTTTCTATGGTATTGTGAACGTCGTTGTCTCGTTCAATAAGTCAGTGTGAATATATTATAGGCCTTCCTCCTTCTACAAACAAAGGGTGGAAGAGGGATGAGCCCCTACAGAATCCTCTGCGACCTTGTTTAGCACTTGCACGAAGGAGGTCAGACTACCACGGATTATTCACGTTGATGACACACCAATTCCGTCGGTGAATAACTCAAAAATACTCGGAGTAACTTTCGCCAGTCTTCTCTGCGCAAGCATCCGCAATTGTCAACAAAGTACAGAGACGCAACAAGGTCCTCAAGTCGCTAGCCGGCAGTACCTGGGGCAAAGACAAAGAAACTTTGTTAGCAACATACAAGGCAATTGGCCGGCTGATACTAAATTATGCAGCACGAGTGGTCGCCGGGGACAAATAGGACGCAGTGGATGAAGCTGCAGATAGCACAGAACGCAGCACTTCGGACAGCGACCGAATGTCTTCTGATGTCGCCAGAACACCACCTTTATGCGAAAATGTTCCCCATAAAGGAGCAGAACACAATGCTCTGTAAGCAATTCTTAGTAGGGAGCTACAGAGGTGGACACAGAGGCTTCGCCAAGGCATGTCAGAAGGCATCTTTACGAACTAACGGACGAAGTCCAGAGGTTCTAAAAGCAACCTCTGCACCCGTGAGCATATTGACAGGCCCTGAGCTGTGCAGACTCCAGTCCTGTGAATGCCGTTTGTCTACCTCGGGAGACTCGGAACACAATAGCCTAACCTCGCTCTGGCTATTGCAGCAGGTTGAACTCATGCCTGAACAGATAAAATGCAGATGTGCCAAATTAGTGTCCGCATACACGACTCGTAATATCTCATCATTTGCCCGGAAAACCCCACACAACTAACTCCTCTGTCCCTGTGGACAGACCCTACAGAAGATACACGCTTCCTGGGTCTTCCGTTAGTTGAGCTTGACGACAACGACTGAGATACCAGCCGATCTGGGCGAGTTTGTTGTAGCTGCTACAATAACAACAACAGACCGCCCCACTTATACGCCACCCCGCATAGCGATCAGCTTCTCAAAGCACGCGAAACTTGTACAATTGAAGTTCAACCAATTCCAGAGCAACGTCGAAGGGATAATCGTTGTCGACATGCAATACTGATAGCTGCGGCCAACCAGGATTTTGGGTGGATGCAGCAGCTCGCCAGATTCAACAATAGGTAGCGGGGATCTAATAAATAGCATAACGGGGGTAAAAATTACCGTAGATCTACGGTAAAATTACGTGGATTATTTGTTGCCGAAGAAGTGGGGCAGAACTTCTTCATGCGTAGGCGGCCTTCGGCCGCGCTAAGGGATTATAATCCTTACTAAGAATTATCCTTTCTGTGTTCCCAGAGAAGTGGGCAGAACTTCTTTCGGCGTAATTTTTACCGTGGATCCGCGGTAAAAGTTACCGTGGCGCGTGTAAGTAGACACTCCGTTTTCTTGTTAACGGCCAAGAAGAACCTACAAAACTTTTAAACTCAGCTAAAATAGTGCCAATGAAAATGAAATGACCTAAACCCCTGCCAGCTTCCTCTCCTTTATTTTCTTCAAGCCGGAGCAAGGTGCCGACTATCAGCCTGGCTGGGCCCTTTAGCTGGGCTGGGCTTTTAGATAGCAATATAGAGATTACAAATGGAAGAGATATGTTGACGAAGTCCAGGCGCAGACACCGAAAAGGGCCAAGCTAATTGCTGAAATAGCTAGGGTCCGGAAAGTAAAATGGCGTAATCGATGAAAGCAATGAAGAAGGCTGGATGCCCAGGAACCAATGGAGATGGGTACATGCCGCCTTAGAAAAGTGGCGCTGCAGGTGAAGAAAGAAAACCCTAGATCGACACCATCGTGCACGGATGTTGGCTGTTTCCCGGGAAAGTAAGCTAATTGATTGTGATCAGAGCAAATCGGTGGTGGTATTCAAAGCTGCGACCGACAAAATAGGCGAGATGTATTCGGTGGCCCACCTAAAGGTTATAGAAGACCTAGACATCCCGACGTGCCTTCAGCGAGAGCCTGGGTTCCTGTGACTCTATCGGAACACAACTGGAGGATTGTGAATACGTAGCCGACGGACCGAGCAACAACTCAGGTAGTCATGCTCATCAATAACGAAAAATAACCAACTTCAAGGCGAACTATGTATTTGGGAAAATTACCCTAAAAGTCTCAAACAGACACCGAAGCCCTGTGAACTTAGCAGCCTGCGCGACATCGAAATGGAAGTGGATGAATGTACAGCGATTGAAGAGCTGAGCGCGTTCGCTTCGTCTAGCTCGGAAAGAGGCCTTATAGGGGCTTTATACTGAGTGTGAGCTTCTCAATGAGGCGAAGCTGACGGGACGGTGGTAGATAGGGGAATCTGTCCTCAGGCGAAGTAGATATTACACTGGTTCAAGAGCCAAGTATCTGTGGCTTGCAGACCCCGAAATATGCCATATTTAATACTCAGGGTATGGGAAAGCCCCACACCTGCATTTTAGTTAAAACTAAGGGCCTGTTCGAGGCACGTAATTAAAGCAGCAATACTGCAGCACTGATGAAAATTTGCAATACTGTTGCAGATTTCTAACTGATAAAAGTTGCTAGAAATTCAGACCGAACGTGATACTTTAATTATGCGTGCAACACTGCGGTTGTGATTGCATCTCGAACAAGCCCGAATATAAATTATTTTTTTCCACCACAATTTAGCGCTGGAGACATCACTGTCAGTCTGTTAGTTAATGATTCAGATCTCTGCCTGGAAGGTCCTCAAAGAATACTCTTGTTTGGACTACAGGCTAATAGAATTTGAAGGGTTTGTTCGCTATCCAATAACCAACTCTACAAAACCTTGCGGAGGAAGCGAAAATCAACATAAGAGCATTATCAAAGTTTATTACGTTCCAAGCAAAAAATAAATACGATCAGTATAAAGGGAGAAGTATTTTAAATAAACGCATCAATTTGCGGCCTCAAGAATACTGCTCCCCATGTGCATTTTCATTAAATATGTATGTATGTATGTATAACATTGTGCACGATGTATACTTAATATAGCCATACAAACCTGTATTCAAGACAAGAAAAATAGAATAACAGCCACCGTTATATGGTAGGTATATGTCTCAACAATTCAATGATGTTTATTACTAAGTAACTCTTTCCAATTAAATATTACTAAAGTTTTTGTTTGCGAAATTTCCACCCTTATTTACATACATAGAAAAAGTAAACAACAAAAAACTCGAAACAATTACCGCACATGGAAGATATTGCATTCTTCCCAGTCTCTAATCTAGTAATCAACTAGTTTCTTTAGTTTCGGTGGCGCAGATATGACAATGCGGTTTCTATTAGTATTAGCACTGCTGCCACTGCTTGTGGCAGTCTCCTGTCTGTAGCATTGAGCATCGCGTTGATGCCGATGTTTGTCTCTATCTCTTTCCCTATCACGATCCCTGTCGCGTTCACGTTCGCGTTCGCGCTCACGATCCCTATTCCTATCCCTATCACGGTCACGATAACTTTCTCTAGGCCGTGGTTCATTTCTTGAACGTGAACGCCTGCCGCGATCACGATCGCGATCTCTATCTATGTCCCTCTCACGCTCCCGCTCACGTTCACGTTCATCGTAACGTTGAGTGCGTTGATGACGTGACGCGCGTTCACGGCTGGTGTCACGCTGCCAACGAGAACGTGATGCACTTCGTCGCCGACGTCTCGAAGCGCTACGACGATTACGCGAACGGGAACGAGAGCGCCGTTTAGAGCCTGCTGATCGCTGCGATTGATAGTAAGACTGGCTGCGACTGCGTGAACGATGCGCACGCTCCCGACTACTACTACGATGTAGGGATCTATGTTGGTGATGAGTTACTGTTGAATGATGCTGCTCTTCGGCCTTGTCATCATTCCCACGGCCCGTGCTATGTTGATGACTTTGTGTTAGTTTCTTTTCTGTGGCAGGCGCGGTAATGGTTTCACTACTTCTCGACGTACTGCGCCGTTGCGCTGTTGGTTGCGCGGATTTTAATGCTCCCGAAGCATCACTATCAGAACCCTTGCCACTTGATGGGGTGCCGTAGCGATGGCGCAGTTCGCGTTGCCTGTAATGCACCAATAAGAAAAACTAAATCAGTAAATCAAGCAGGAATGCAGTTAAACACGTTTACAAGTAACCATCTCATTATCATATTTTACCTTCGTCTCAGTTTGAGTGCCATTTCGCGCATTTCATCCTCGCGCTCCTGTTGCAGTTGCCTTTCACGTTGCCATTTCTCGATTTCAGCACGTTTGTCCGCTTTGTCTACAAGTGGTGAGAAACAAAGGATAAATATGTTTTGTGGCTACAGTACAGACATATATGTATACATAGGTATGTATGTATGTGTATTTGCTAAGAGGTTTATGAAGTTGCTTGAATTGATTAGTACTTACATTGCTTGTTGAGCAAATTTTGCATTTTGCGTTTCAGTCGTTCGCGCAAATTCAAACGACTGCTGCTTTGCGGCGTCGACAAGGACGAGCTCTGGAAAAAATCACTTTAGATGTTCAACAAAAGCGTAACCAGTTTTCACACATAAAACTATGAAAGCTACTAGTTATGGTCAACGTCCTCTTGCTAACAAAGCCGTTACAAATTGTTGGTTTTTTTAGTAATTTATATGTACGTCGTAAAAAAGCATAGTATAGCGCGGCATAAATTACCATTTAGCAGAAAAAATATGTTATCTCCCTAGATCTCACAAGCAGGATTAAGGACTTAAAAAAACAATATATATATATATATATATATAATCTTAAAAAATGCGTTACCTTAATTTATGCCTCGCTATGCTATAGTACAAAAAAGTTATATGCCCTGCAAATTATATACATATATATGCATTACTACGTATGAGCAGTTATCTCAATAATTTTTTTTCTAGTCTGTTCGGATTTCGTCATTACATGTCCTTAAACTTATAAAATTTAACACCCTATTCCGTGATTTCTGAGTTGCATAATTTTGTTTATATTATTCCGGCATTTCTTGATTTTGTGTTGCTGAAATTGGTATTTTTTTTGGTGGTTCTTACTGACTTTGGTTTCGGTAGCATTAGATAAACTTGGATTGATTTTCGCCGGAGCAGTAGTGCTATATTTGCCTGTTTGTTTACCAGTAGTTGACGTCGACGACGATGGCAAAGGGTTGGAGGGTTCAGAGCTAAAATTATAAGAAAGGGCAAAATTTAAAATGCTTAATAATTTCAGTAAGCGACGGGCGAATCAGTATTTTACATATATGATTTGCCGACGGTTGTTGTAGGTGCACTACTGCCTAACTCAGCTAGTCTATCAATCGTTGTCAAGCTAAATTAAAGATAAGCCCAGGAGACATAAGGCGTAGGATACGTTGGTTCTGCTGCGCTTGCCGCTGTGAGAGTTACTGCAAGGTTGACAGCGACGGAGTCAACGTATGCGATCGCAGAGCTCGGCGGCAAGGATTTACATTTACATTTGACTGCGGTTATTTTCAGATATTTTCTGTTTTGAGGCACAGTGTAGACTGTTCGAAAGACCTAGACTCGAGTTGAGTTTTTGCTCGACCGAAGTGGCTCCTGCGATGCTTGCTTGCACCAGCGTGTGGGAGCAACTTGGCCAACAGGCCCGAAAATGTTCTTAGGTGGATCCAACTATTGCAAGTGTGGCCAACGACAACGATTTGTAGACTTCGGGGCTTTAAACGGGGTTAGACCGGCTAAACAAAAGACCGGTGGTATAAATGCGGTTGCGCGTTTCATATTTGTTAAAATACCAATTCACACCTGCCTTTTTTACTCAAATATATAGCTGCCGGATGTTGGCGCTTGAAAATGATATAAATGTATGTACATATGAATGTAAATAAATGGACTAAATGTGGCTCAACTTTACCATAGATGCATTCCTCGTGCGCTTAACTTACGTAGTATCCACATCCATGCGTTCATCGCTGTCGTTTCCTTCACCGCTGATTGGCGCAGGTTGTTTGGTGGCTTTGTTGTCGTCATTCGTGTCTGAGACAGAATTACTATCGGAATCCGATGAATCATCTCCACGCTTTCGACCGTAGTAGCGTTTGAGCGGTGGTGGCGGTGGTTCCACCACTGTAGGCAATAATGTAATTTCATTACTTGTGCCAGATGTGTTCGCAGCCGACGTAGTTGTTGAAGCCGATACTGGTGGTGGGGGGGGGTGTTGCTTTAGTCGCAACAGTGACCGCTGTAGACATCGCTGTTAAACGCGTTGATAATGGATAACTAACCATAGGTATAGCGGTGGTGCTTAGTGCAGCAACAGTTGTTACCAGAGTTGAAATTGGAGCTTTCTGTATGGTCAAATCCGGCGGTGCAATAGAGCTGCTATCAATGCATGGCAAAATTCTCGTTTTCGATATTGAACGTGTACGCGTACGACGATGCTCCGATTGTGCTTTTTGGTGCTTCGAGTTTCGTATGCGTTTTCGCTCAGAATGTCGACTGTTACTAGATACGGAGCGAGAACTTCGTCGCCTAGAACAATGGGAGGAACTACTCGTCGATCTGTAGCGCCGTTTATGTGTTACGCCATGTCCACCGCGCGAATGCGATCGAGATCGTGAATTCGATGTTGTACTGCAGCGTCTAGACCGATGTTTGCGCCTAGAGCGGTCATATGAAAGGGAACGTGATCTTCTGTAACGATGTCGTCTTTTACGACTTTGGCTACGAACGTGTGACCTGCTGCGCGAACGTGATCGCGAGTACAACCGCCGCCGACGATCACGACTGCGTCGATTACTTCGATTTCGGCTGCGACTTCTGGTGCGTGAACGTTTTCGCGAACGACTACGTGAGCGGCTGGGTTTTCCTGTAGTTGTTGAACGTTTCGCGCCTTCATTCAATTGTTTCAGCTTCTCCAAATTCTCCTTAACTTTTTGTGCATATGTAGCCTGACTATCTAGAGCGCTAGCTGCTGCTGACACACCAGCGCAAGATTCGCCTAATGTCTGTGGTGTACGTCCAATATTAATGGAAATTTTAGAATGTGGCTGTAGTTCATCTTCTCCACCAAAAGAAGTGATGTACGTAATTTTTCCCGCATTTGGGTCCGGGGATGGTGAATGGGAATCACTTTCGTCTTCCTTATCTTTTTTGCCAGCGACATCCTCCTTTGCTGCATAACTGGGAGGACTAAAAGGGCGACATGCTATGCGACGCTCTTTCTGTGCTCTCCTCTCACGGCGAGACTTTCTTCCGCTTAGCAGCATTTTTTCTTGCTCTTCCTCACGCGCAATCCGTAGTGCCTCAGCTTCATCTGCGTCTTTTGTAAGATAGGAATAAAAGTCATTGCTCACCATCCCATAATTACGTCCACAACCGTTCAGCTCATGCGCTTGTGAAGTGTCCAATTTAGAGATATCAATCGAAACATCCACATCCATATCAGAATCCGACTCCGAATCGGAACCTTTTTCCGACTTCCCTGATGATTTCTCTAAAGTCGAAGACTGAAAAACGTGACTGCCAGCTGCTGTTGAGGGTTGACCTTCTTCATAAATGTAACCGATAGTCGCACCGCTCTTAGATTGTTTCTTTTTGCTCGAATTACGTTCACTAGCCTCAAGCTGAGCACTCGCTCCATACTGCTCTTCCAAGTAAAGTTGGTGGAGAAATTTGTCTTCTGTTACGTTCAGAAAATCGTTTTGAGCTAAAATTCGGTATCGTTCATAATTGCACTGACGTTCATCTTGAGAAGGTTCTGAACTCTCAGTCTCGCTTGCTTTTGGTATTGGTGGAATATAGTCCAGATGTGCACGCACGTCAAAACGATCGATGAGATTATCCTGTTGCCCTTGCCAAGGAACACTGTAAACACATAACAAAATTTAAATTAATTTTCATTCTTGTAAAGTTAGATGTTGATGATATTTTTATATGTATGTATGTATTCCGTTAATTAAAACAAAAACTCGGATTTTTCCGAAATATGACTTGCATGATGGCGGCTCCGTCGCCGGCGGCAGCTGTGGCTGGGTCAAGATGTATCTTACAACGTCTGCCATGTACTTGAATGAACTGCGTCGGGTCCGCTTGCTGTTTTTGTAGCAAAAAAGATAAAAATCAACGTTAGTTACGACATAATAAATGAATTTTACACATGCTTGTCATACACTTTCGTCACTCACAATTTTCTCGTAAAAATCCTGTCTGCGCTCTGCACGCTTACGATAATCTACAATCATACCGCGTATTCGGCGCTCCTGCTTTCGGGCCTCATGCCACATTTTCCTCACTATTAGTATGTGCAAGGAACTCTATAGTGGCCAATATCTTTAGGGTACACATTCGCGAATGGAAAGCGGCTATATTTTTACAATTACTTCCTTCTTGCAGTAATAAAACTAGAATAAACCTCCTTTTATCACTGATCATAAAATTTTACCTCAGACAGCAAACTAGAGCTGTCAAACTATCGACGATACTATCGATAGTGACTAATGTCACTTGAACTTACCATCGATGTTTTAATAGTATTGCCACAATCGCTTCAATCTCTAGCAGTAAAGCTGAAGCTCCATAGAAGGTGCTTCAGGCGTTGCGGCTTTCGAAGTCGTTGAGCACACAGTATATACAGGGCCTGTGCCAAATGATAGAAAAGAGAAAATTTTGACGGATCAAAGTAAAAATCTGACATTTCTCGTGGTGAATAAGAACGTCAGAATTTTACCTAGCTCATGGGGCTAGGTAAAATTTTGACAGCTTATAACCATGTATACATATAATATTGCTTGGCGGTAATAAGAAGTGAACATGAAAATGAAAGCTGAAACAGCATAAAAAAAGCTTACGTTACTTGCAAATTATAAAATAAATATAAATTTTAAGAATTTCAGCAACACACAAAAATAGAGCTTTCGCACGAGCGTTTGTTTGGTTTTTCAAATGTCAAAATTTTACTTTGCATTTGGCACAACAAAATTCAATTTATTTCTACACCATAGCAAATTTTTCCACCCCGTCTCACCACGGAGAAAAAAGTTACCGATTGGCACAGGCCCACAGTAATAAACCTTTTCGCAGTTTTTCACCAATTGGTACTTTTGGGTTGGGTGCAGCGTTTTCGTTTTGCGCGCACGGCAACACTTACTGTGGGGAATTTCGCCTCATGATTAGAAAAGGTTCTTTTCGAGGATAAAATATATATAGTTGTGTTATTTATGAACAAAATGTAGGAGAAATATAATTTCAATGCTTAATTAGGAATAATATCAATAGTAAAGTACATAATTATTGCTTGTATTTCTTTAAACTGGAAACTCAAATCGTAATTATAGCACTGAATAAAGTTTTCATAAAAATCAATAAAATATCCATTGTAAGAATATATTTTTATAAAAACATGAATTTATCAAAGAAAATTCTAAATTTCCGAATATATTTAAGTCTTTATTCCAAAACAAAAAAAAAGGTTTGTATAGTTATGGAGACTCCAAAGCCTGCTAGCGCATCCGCTCAGAGAGCTCATTAAGCGCACCCAAGTTTGAGCGACCATTACCCGGAGCTCCTCAAAAATACTCAGGATCAAAGTATAGAATGTCACCAATATGAATTATACACACATACAATAGTAATTGCTATGAATGGCTACCGTATAAACTCAGGACACGCATGTGCTTGGAGACTCCCGAAGGTTAAGGTGGTCATAAGTTCAGCCAGCACATTCAATGGTCTATTACCCGGAGCTGCTCCAACATGATGAGTAGATTTTAGTGAGGCTCACATGCCACTGCCTCTGGCTACACACTGGATATCGGAATATTGCAAAATAAATATAAGAAAAGTGTTTACAAAATTACCTGTGCCACTCTGACATAGTAGGGTTGTTGCTCCCTTTCATACCACAGTAAATTTGTATGCAACTCTGAATCGGCAAAATTCATGCTCCTTCTCATTATCAACCCTGATCAGATTTTACCCCCGAGGAGTACTCAAAGGTGGCGCCGTCAGTGGTACCGCTACTTTGGTTTTGCCGATTTTGACAGTTGTGGTAACTTGTAAATAAACCTTTGTTTCAAATCAGTGAAAGAGAAATTCGCATTATAAGTTAAAAATCAGTTTAAATTGTGTTAATTTGCAATTTTTGAATGAAGACTGCGTAAAAACTAATAAAATGTAGTGCTGTGTGTTAAATTGTGACAGCCATCAAGATACAAGATGAGTAGATGCAAGTGTAGCGCTGGGACGAATCGCTGCATTTTATGTACATAGGGCACGTCAAAGCCGTGACCGAAATGTTTCTTTATTATTACATTAACAACATTTCCGCACAATGATTTTGCTTCTGCTCCAAGCAGCCTCCACTAGCCAGTTAAAGCTTAGTATCCAGCTCTTAAGAAAACGGTCAAGAAAAAATTGCCATTATTTTGCGTGTGTGTCCAAGGAATTTTGACATTTTTTATACCTCACAGCCTGTTGCCTCACTCTTTCCTCGAGAAATAATGGAACGGGCATATATTTCTGTTGCAAACCTGGGTTGCCTTGTGCTCTTTTTTCACAAAAAACTTTAGAAAACCGTAGTAGAAAGCGTACTAAATTTCTGAAGAGCTGCGTACTGCCTTAAGGAAATTTGACTCAAGAAAATTTCTTAGCCATTTCTTGTACGCCATTTTATATGGAGTTTTTGCTTTTCTTAAGAGCTGGATACTAAGCTTAACTATTCAATCCCGCTGAGATGCTGCCGAAGTTTTCTGCAGCAGCCTTAATTGCAAAGCAATGAAGTGCACTAAAACGTTTGCTCAATCAGCCTTAATTGCAAGGCAATGGAGTGCACTAAAATGTTAACTATTCTCTAATAGATTAAGTAAAAATGCAATATTTTCGCATTTAGCAAAATTAAAACACGTTTTTCGCTGAAAGTGAACTCTTTTGGCAGTTTCAACTCGTTCTTCTTTTCGCTCTATTCTTTGTTTACTTGTGGTACACACATGTCAACGCCCAGGAGGGCGCAATCTTCTATTCTATCATTCTTGGATGCTTGTTCTTCTTGCAGTTTTGTTTACATTTGTGTCGTCGTCCTTTGCTTTTACTTCCGCTGGTCATTTGTTTGTGATTTGTTTGTCACATCGATTTTTAAAAGCTTACATCTACATCCTTCTCCTGCGTTTAGTTTTCTTAATAAATTTTCAGGATATTTTCGAGGAAGTATGTCAAAAACTCGTTTCTTTAATTTTGCCGCAAATACATCTAACGACATTGAAGGGCCAAATGGAATGGAATCAATGTCCAACAACAACAACGGTGATAATGATGAGAGCAACGATGATGACTCTGAGTTCCTACAGGATGTTCCTTATTCTTCTAGCAGCATAGACAGAAGTTCCATAGGCTCAATTCCATGGGCTGATGATGCCATAAAGCAAAACCAATTGGATTGGGAGAGAGTGGAGCGTATGCTAATTGGTGAAGAAGCCCTGCCAACGGAACCAGATTTGCGTAATGAGATTTTAGAATGGCAACAAAAATTCCCAGAGTTGCTGAATGAAAAGAACATTACGGACTTGCCACCAAAATGCTTGCCAGAAAGAAAATTTGGTATTTCCAAAATTAGTGAGACTCCGGCACACACATTGGTGGATGATTTAATTTCTCATTTGAGCTTAAACAGCTCTGAAGACGATGACAGGTATGACGAACTGGCAACGCCCACTGCGGCTCCCCAAAGATTTGATAATATTTTAGATCAACAAGGCCGAACAAGTCCTAGTAAAAAATCGTACATAGACAGACTTTCAGCCAAAATGTCCTTACTACGGATCGCAGCATTGCCTATACGTCCCTTTCAGCGTAGTGATACTGTGAAAGCAATACCACAACAAACCTCAAAAGAACCAGAGCACAGCGGTACCTCTAATTCCTTACGTCTACATGAAGTATCGTCAAGTAGACCTCAACCACCAAAGCTTTCACCTAGCCGTACACATTACAAAGATAAAGCGTTCGAGCCTCAACAACTCTTCCGAATGCCACCAATTCTAAATGTACTAGAGAGCAAGCGACGTTTTCGAGACTTAGCGCCGAACAAAAGTTTTGTTCAATTGACACACGTGAAGACCCCACACGCAAAATCAGCCGCTGTAATACGACAACCAGAGAATAGTTTGCAGCTCGGAATGCAAACGCGAACCACCACTAATTTTCCGCGCCATCATCAATCAGTTTGGCAAAAGCCGTTGGTTGCTTCGCGCGTAAGTAGTAATTTTTTTAATAATCGTAATGCCATAATCTTGCCCTCGCTGAATACACAACGCATGAACGCTGAGCAAAGACGCAATAGCACCACATCCAGTACAGGAGTTGGTACAAGAACGCACAGTTTGTCTAATTCCAATTTCGACTCTTCACCAAGCAGCAGTGCCAACATTGTGTTGCGTCCTCATTACGGCGCTGATCGCTTTGCATCCCGATGGCAACAAATAAACGCGAATCATACGTCCACGTCGACTGGGACAATTTCAACAGGGCGCTCTATCTCGGCAGCCGTTCATCATCCGCGAGCAGATGTAGGAATGAGAGAGTTGTATGTGCCATACAATGCCTACAAACATAATGGTTTTAAATAGCAATCACAAGCGTGGCGTTTTGTATGATGCGTCACGAGGGTTTATGCGCTAAACAAAGTATGAACGATGATTTTAAACTAACCTGATATCGAAAATTTAAGTTTAAAATTTTTTATAAAACCAAAATTTACGCGTATTATTTAATATACGTATGTACATTCATGAAAAGTTATAGAAAACACTCGTCAGTGCTTTAGTAACTGCCAATACTTTTAATGTTGAACAAATGTTACGGATACATCCATATATGTACCTATATACCTATGGTTCTAGTTACATACTTATTTGTAACGCCAAAAATCGTCGTAGTGGCAGTGGAGCAAGCGACGATATTTTTTAACACTCCAAATGAAATATGTGCTTTAAAGCTCTGCAAATATTCAAAATAAAATTGTGGTCAAATAAATTTTGACAACAGTAGGTACAGATATTCTGTTGGTAAAATTATAAAAAAAATATGTTTTATTTAGCTTAATATTTCGACAAGGAATATTTTGAAATAACTTTACAACATAGTCAAAAACAAATTTCTGAACAGGTTTTATTTTTAAAACGGTTGTGTTTCATCCAAATATTGCAATATTCTAGGAGCGTGCAAATTTAATGTAAACCCTCATCTCACTCAAGCTCGAATCCTTCGAATCGCGTTCATTCAAATATCGTCACTGCCGCACTCACCATTGTAGTATTATTTTAATTTACTGCTATTTTTAGATTAGTTACAACTGCATTAAAAAAATTTAAATAAAATTCGGTATAGTAATTCTTACAAGTTAAAGTTATCCAAACGCAATCTTCCATCATTCTCGGTCAAATATAATAAATCTGAGAGGCACTGTTCGCTTATTAATTCCTCAACACGTTCACACATCTATACGAAAGTGAAAATATATCAAAAAAGATCTTAAAAAATATTTATCTTATCCCACTCACTCCTTTCGCTTTGTAGTCCTTTAATATTTCGGGGTGCTTGAAATTCGGTCCGAAATTTACACTTACGGTAGCATTCTTATGTATTGATATGGTAGGATAATATAAACCACCATATATATCTGAAAAAGCTACAGATTGGGATTTTCCATTCTTAAAAAATTCTATTTTGCTGCCAGGCTGCACTTGAAGGCCTTTAAGTGTTTCCTGCACTTTGTCCTTATCCTCATAATACAAATGTGACTTGAACTTTACTAACGGCTGCAAAAGCAGAATATAATAAAAATACAAAGTGAAAAATTGGTAAAATATCTACTCATGTATCAACCCTTGTATCAAATCATGTCTAATCCTTACTACTTTAGTATGGATTAGACAAGGGTAAGAGACAAGAGCACTTAACAGTAGTAAGAGTTTTTATTTTTTGAATTTTATAATTTATGTCGTTATTCCAGAAGGCCATCGATGTGTAGTTATGTTTTACATACATCGTTGCCTTAATATAGAAAGGCCCCCCAACTAATTTGCTTCCAAAATCAACCTTTGCACAAAAGGTGCTGAAAATTAAAAACAATTACTGCAGAATCAACTTATTAATCAATCAAATAGTGTACAATACTTTTATTTGTATAAAATTTAATTACGCAGCAGAAAGAAAGTGTAAGTGCCTTTCCAGGTTAATGAACGATATGTAGGTGTTATATTGGCTGCATTTCTTTATTCATTCTGAACATTTGGAATAAACTTTTTTGTTTACTTATTCTTTAGAATATTCCTGATGATATGCTAACGTATATTTCAAACGCATTCTGTTTATTCCGGCTGTGAAATGGGATTATCCGGAATGTATAAAGAAACGCAGCCATAATCATTATTATGAATTATTTTTATCATAACATAACTTACTCTGTCCTTAAACGTGTTAGGTAAGTAATTGCTGTCAACTTCATCGGGTAAATCTATTAAAAAGCCCAGCACTTCGCCTTCCGCATAAGCATCGCTATAGTGTTTGCCATGACTCTCATGGAATCTAGTTCCCTTGCGTGACCGCCATGAGTAGCCAAATTTGTCATAGCCGAGGGGTGCTTGCAGGTTGCCGTACTCCTGACCCCAGCCCAATCTTGTTGCAGAGCCTTCAGGCATATCATCAACAATGGCTTCAAAATACCAGCGCCCACGATTTACAGCTGGAATGATATCCCGAATGATAAAAAGCGAATATCTAAAATACTAAATAAATGTGGACGTGAAATACACTTATACATACACTGGCGCTCACCTAAATAGCACCCTTTTGTTGTTTACAATATTCGCAATTTTTTACGTGATATTTTTTTTCGTTAATTTTTTTATAAAAATATAGTAGATTCTATAACATGAACCATATAGTCAAACTCTAAAACTTTGTACACAGTTCAGGAAAATTTAACAAATTAAAAAAAAAGATATCAAAATTTTCAACTTTTTTCAGAATTTTTAGAAACTTTTGGAAAAATCCGGTCGATTTTTGAGATTTTTTTTGAGGGTGTTGCGCATTTTCTTCTATATAAAAATTGATTTTGTTCATGCCTTATATGGGAGAAAATGTGCCACACCCTCTACAAAAAAAAAAAAAAAATCCCAAAAATTAACGAGATTTTTTAGAATTTACTAAAATTGAATGGGCTTTAAAACTGCCTACCCAAAAAGTCTCTAAAATTTTTTTCTGAACTGTTCACAGAGTTATAAACTTTCACTTATATGGTTTATGTTACAGAATCTACTATATTTTTATAAAAACTTTACGGAAAAAATGTATCACGTGACAAGTAATTTTTAAGCAAAAAAAACCGACCGGTAATTTTTTTCTTGGTCCAATGATCGGATCTAAACCAAATTAGTATAGGACGAACCCTGAGGTAGGAACCACCTTTCCTTAAAACAAAAAAAGAATTATAGAAATCGGTTAACGTGGTCCAAAGTTATACGGTACATAAAACATACATAAAAAAATTTCGACGAATTAAAAACCTCCTCCTTTTTTTGAAGTCGGTTAAAAATAAAAGTGTGCTATTCAGTTGAGCGCCACTGTATATATTTAACCAGGAAATTAACCATTAACAAAAAAGCAATATTTACTTACAATGAGTAGCGCGCACCATACAGTATCCCTTATCACCAGTGACAGACAGACGATCTTCTGAAATTTTTAGTTGTGGTGCACGATCATGCAAGGCCAATAAAACGCAATTGGGAACCAGTGTTCTATACAGCCAACCAGGTATTGGTTTGCCAGCCCAATCAGAGCTTTCGTCGAACTCTTGCCGGAAGGGAGCATGAGGATCAGGTTCAGCTAGAATATAACGATAGCCATCCTTATTAAAAGGATGCTCCAACGGATACCCATGAGCTGGTAGTTTCACATTTGCGGTAATATCTGAACTAGGTCGTCCCTTTTTACCAGTAGGTCCAGAATCATTACCGGGCGGTTTTCGTTTGTATTGACGATTATTCTTTGTCAGTGATGAAGCTGAGAGCAGAGTTAATGTGTAAATAGAGGTTAAAGATTAAATACATATTCTACAAGCAAAATACTTCGCGAGTTTGCTAAATGCCAATGGAATAGGGTCATGTAGAAGCGCAATAGCGGCAATGGAATGTGTGCAGATGGTAAAATAAACTTGAACATGACTACAGAGCCTCGTAGTGAAGACGACACTCCGAAAAATATGACTCACAGTCCCATGGGTCAGTCAAACAAATCAAATTTAATGTAAATCATTGCAAAAAATTTTAATTTTTACGCACAGGAGTCGTCCAAATTCATGATTGGTCTGTCGATTTATCAATCAATTATTTTACGTACTTTCTTCTTCGCGATGCGGCACCGTGTTGTCCATATTCTCGGAAAGTTGAAACTACGTGCGCAGCAACTGTGACAGCGTACAGTTGCGGCGACGACGAAGACGACGAGTCGTCCAACCGAATCGATATATCTCACAAAAACACTAACTACTGCAAAAGCTTTTATGCATGTAGATTTACACACACAGTCGAGTAATATATCAAAACAAAACAATAGTGGATCCCCCCATAGCAGTATTTCGAACAATGCAGCTGCTTTCTATCATGATACAAACGTTTCGCTTACGTCGTCCCCACCCACCCATATTTTAGTGAAAAGCCGGTGGTGACCTCGCCCGAAAATGATAAAATGCAATCAGATACAAAGTGCCATTGCAGTGATCAATCACAGTCGCGACGAAGTTTAATAAAAAATACAATTTAAAACGTTACGCGGTTTATACGGAAAGTATGGGCTAATTAGATGAATGCGAATGAATGAATGGGAACGGGCAACGATAACAAACTACATACGTACATAAGCATGTATGCACATATGAACATACACACGTGATAAGAACAAACACAAAAGTTATTGCATATACATACATATACATAGGTGCATGTATATATGTACATATCTATTGGGTTAGAAACCTTCAATGATAAATAACACGGTACCCGACCCAAATAAAATTTGTATAATAGTAGCAAAAACAATACAAGAACTTCAAACAGTGACGGCCCGCAGTGTTTAGTTCACAATCTGAGCACAAAAAGCCAAAGAGAAGAATAAATTGAACGTAAAACATGCGAATAATGGCACAAAGCGAGTAACAACTAAACATTGTAAATGCAGATATTTTGATTGTGTTGTCCAGTATGTTATTGTTCTTATGAATTCCTAGCACTGCTCCAATCCCTTCACGCACTTCTACTTACCTGCTCCGTGACCATCTTCGGATGTTCGCAGTAATCCGCCCTTACCCATGGAATCGTAGTTCGGTTTAATCTGTGCGAGATCCTGCGTTACTAAACCAAACATGGTGCCGAATTCAGAGTTTTCCTCGTACGTGAACAAAGTGCTGACCTCTTTGACAAGTGACCTCTGCACCGTAGAATACCTAAGACCGAAAAATTTCAGTTAAATAGTTTTTTTTTTGAGGATTTTTCTATTTCAATATACCAACCAAGATTGTGTGACACGTCGAGGCATTGTCGTCATTGCCTCCCAGTACTGTTCGATGTATGGGATGATTTCTTTGTCTTTGCTAAATAGGAATTTAGTCTTCCCTTCCTTCAGCGCATTTTGCTGCATATTGGCTATGGCAGTGATGCACATTTGTGGTATAGCTGTGTGGAAATCGGAAAATCATATAGCAGCTCACTTAAACTAAATATTTATATACAATTCTTACTCGCTTGACTTTTTCGAAAGACCTCAAGCCCACTTTGCGAGCAATTCTTGCAGACGAATACATAATTGGTGATGAACGGTACCAACTTGCCCAGCTGATAGCCAATACAAGATTCGTGAAACCAACGACTGCAATTGGCACACAGGAGCTCCACAATATTGAGATTTCGTTCTTTCCCACTAAAAAATTTTTATATTAAATGCCAAGTACATGCATGCCAAATAAAATAAATAAAATTTACCAATAGCAAATGCCGGTGCCGGTATTGGCGCCTGTTGCAAGTTTCTCCTCTCGCGGGGTTTCCTGTGCGCGTTCACTAGTGGCATATTCAGACGCAGACTCGGATAGGGAATTTGTATCCATTTGCAATTCGTCCATTTTGCTGCTGAAATATGTTTATTTCTTGAAAAAAGCTTGTCAGAAAAATGCAAAAAAGCGTCTGCAAATGTTTGATAAAAAATGAATGCAATTGGAGTAATTGGATAGGTGTGTTCAATAAGTGTTGTATCATAATAAAGTGTTGGAAAACGGTGCCACACTGGCAAAACCAAAGAACGTAAAAATCTTCTTTTAAAGGCCCTACACACGTATCGATTTATCGGCCAACTAGTTGGCCAACCGCTAGAACTTGGTGGTAGAAAAATAAATTTTTTTTTATTTTTCAGGCTGATCTGTGTAAAGACAAGTTGGCAACATAAAATGCGACTTCATTTTTTAAAGGCGCATTAACGTTAACATGCGTTTTTCGGTTGGTTTTGCCAAAGAACGTAAATCTATATAATCTATCTATCTATATATCTGTCTATAAATTTATCTTCTTTGGTTTCGCTAGTGAAATTGCATATAATTTGTGTAAACAGGGGCGGTAGCAATAACAAATTCATAAAAATTAGAAGCATTTTCCTAGCGTAGCTTAAAAGTTTCTCTGTGCTGTTGTATTGTTTAGAGTTCAAAAACTCTTACTCAAAAGAAATCAGCCAACTGGTTGATGCGTGTGTATGGAATTTCGTTAAATAGGTTGTTCAACTGGTTGGCCGATAAATCGATCAAAATATTTGTTATTATGTACTTGAGCGTAAAATAGTTTGTTTAATTTTTGAATGATTAAATCCGGAAAAATGCGTTTTAGAAGCTATCTTATAAATGCTCATATAAAGATATAAAAACCCCACACAAATATTGCCACTGATATAACTTATAAAATGAGCAAAAAATTTTATATCTGGTACTAATAACTCATCACTGTTTTGCACTATTCACAATATACACACATATGGATACAAATTTTCACTACCAGTGGTGATTTACTTTCTTTGTGCAGCAGATGTAAGTTTAGTAGTGATTAAATTTTTTTCTCGTGTATTTTCTAAGCCTGGAAAAATTATACAGATTAATTTTCTTCAATTTTAATAACTTCTTACGGTAAACATTAAAAATATTGTGCTTTAGAAAACTGGAGATCGATAAGTTCCTGTTGAGCAGAGGGATTCCCGGGTGTTGGGGAGCGCTAGGTCCACGTCGATTTTTCTTTGTTGGTGCACTTTTCAGCGGTGTATACCATATGGGAGGCGTATGTGTCTACATCAGTATTGCATTTGGTGATGCTTGATGTTATGAATAAGCGCTATTGATTTTTGTGGCTTGCACAAAAGGTGCCAGCAGAAATTTATGTAAATACTTGCTTTTATACCTGCAATTATTGTTGTTTCTTATTCAAAGAACAAAAACGCTGTTTCTTGCTGACATCAACTGAAATGATTCCGTAAAACCGAAAAATAGTTCTGTGAAACTTTCAAAGTAGTATTAAAAATGGGAAATTTTAGCAATTTGCGTGGGTCCCCAAACCCCCCTAAACGAAAGAGGATGAACGCCGCTTTATGAAAAGTCACCCCTCAACCCCCTTCCCCCTTAAAACCCCTTGGGAGCTGTTTGAAAACAGCGGAAATTTGGTTTTTTTCTAAAACGATTATAACCCTCACTACTGCTTTCTCTGTTGCCCAAGAAGAGGGGCTGAACACCTTTTGCAGAGAGCACCTTTCTGCGTAGGCGGCCTTCGCCCGCACTTAGGGATTATAACCCTCACTAAGTAGAATTCTTTCTGTTTTGCTAAAGATGAGGGGCTGACCACCTTTTGCAGAGATATTTCGTGGATATTTTTTTTTTGACAGCTCAGCTTGGAAACTTGCAAAAAACACCATATTCCAACCGACATTATTAATAAATTAGTGCGCAGATATAGTAAATTTTTGTCTACAAGTGTGTGTAAAAGGTTTTTGATTCGATTAACGCGTTTGGGCACAGCTACCCAAAATCGTTGTACAAATTCATAGAGTACCCTTAAAAATACATAATCAGGAAAATGCACATATTTATGTCTTCGCCTTTATGCACAATAAATGTTATATACCCTTGGGGGCCCACCCTCATCAGGCAAACGGAAAAGCTCAAGTCATCAACTGGAGTCAAACGAAAACGCAAGTAAAAATGTGATTGTTGCCCATTTTTGTAAAGGCTCCCTATGGACCTATAAGGGGCCTAGGCATTTGGGAGTTACATTTTTGAAAACGGCAGTTCATGCCCTCCCTAAAGTGGGGTGTGGGAGGTGAAATATTGTACGGTTTGTTGACAAAAGAGTTGAAAATAAAGCCAGGATTTGACACTTTAAATACAAAACAAATTTGAGACACTTGACGGCAATTTAGCCATTAATTGTATTTCAATCTATTACAATATCATTGATAAATAGATATTTACATATGTATGAATGTATCTATATAACTACCGGACTAAACGTAGCGTTTCATTATATATTTGATAACCCAATTAAATATTAGCACACTCTCCAACTCTTACAAAACAAATAGGCAATTGGGGAACATTATTTACTTTGTTGAATAAATTTCGTTCTAACTTTCAAATCTGCTTTAAAATAAACCTAATGTGTGTCTTTTTTTTATACACTATCCAAGACACAAAACACTAAATTACAGTTTGAAAGAGATTTATTGTAATCAGCTCCCTTGTCGTAGCCAGTGACGTCGTTTTTTGTTTGAACATATGATTTCCCAGAAGACAATTTAGGTAGGCCTTCTTAAGTGAAGTTATTCTAAAAGGCCTACCGATGAAGGGCTGAAAAATGCTTCCATGATAATTACATTTATTTTATATAGTACTTACTTTAGCACGGTGAAATGAATTGATTCTCTATTCTATCGTTCTTGTTACTTTAGTACAAAAAGGGATCAATCTTGATTTAAATTTTAAATTTATGTGTGCATACGTGTAAAAGAAAGGGATCAAAAGGCAGAATGTCAAAACCATCACGGAAACGTCCCCCATAACTTCCGTTCGATTCACTAGGGTTTTGCCGTATCTTTTCTAACACTCCCCCCTGGTATATCCTTCGGATCTACCCCGTTCTCCGGTATACTCACGGAAAGTACGGCAAGTCTCGTGGCCGGTCGCTCGTATATACCAGCGCTAGTCTTCACCAAAGTGCTCCTCACCTGTTGGCCAGAGCCTACTCTAACAGAGATCACCCGCCCTTTGGGCCAGCAGCTTCTCGGACCGTTCGGGTACACTAGGTAGACGACGTCCCCTTCTTCAATTGGCTTTACCTTTTCGAACCACTCGCGCACCCAACGTCTCCAGAATGCATCCGCCACTTGCTGAGCACATCTCCAACCCCTTCGCATTTGAACTGCTTCATCAACAAACTCTATCAAGGGCTTCATTCCGCTGGAGCTGCCAATCAAGAAGTGATTTGGTGTGAGAGCCTCGTCGTCATAGTGATCCAGCGGTATGTAAGTGAGTGGTCGGTAGTTGACGATGGATTCGACTTCCATTAAGGCATCTCGCAAACACTCATCAGACGGTCGTTGCGATTGTAGTATCTTCGAAAGGACGTCTTTTACCGACCGGACTAGCCTTTCCCAGGCACCACCCATGTGTGGCGATGCCGGTGGTATGAACATCCACTTCATTGAAGAGCTCGTAAAGGCGCGTACAAGCTTGTCTTTGTCCATTTCGTTAAAGGAAGCACTGAGTTCTCACTGTGTGGCCTTGAAATTGGTGGCGTTATCACTCCAAAATTCCACGCCGTGTCTGGCCATAAAATTCCGAATGGCCAGGATACACGAATCGGCAGATAATGAGTACGCTATCTCCAAGTGAACCGCTCTCGTTGTCAGGCAAGTAATGAGCACGCCGTATCTCTTATCCGTGCTCCTGCGTACGGACACCAACAATGGTCCAAAATTGTCGGCCCCCACGTATGAAAACGGCCGGACAAAGGGAGTAACTCGGGCCGGGGGCAGGTTGCCCATCTTTGGTGGTCGTGGAGACGCATTGTGGAGTCGACAGATCTGGCACTCATGGTCAGATGTACATATATTTTTTAAAGCCATGCACGACGAATATTTTGGCGAGCACGTTCACAACTCGCATTCGTCTTTTTAATTTTTTTCTGTAGTACCGCAAATCCCGCGGAACCCGTGTGTATAATCCCTCATTTATGCGTTTGCGGGATTGGATTCCCCAATAGTACGTATATATGTCGTCAGTAGACACGAATAAAGGCGGGAGTTTGAAAGTTGACTGCGAAAAAAGACGCATAAAAAAACTCTAGCGTCAAAAACACTTAACATACTTCGCCGAAGTTTTTCAGAGGCAAACTCAAAACTCGCAAAATTTTTTTACGCGCCTTTTTTCGCCGTCAAAACACTATCTCGCCTTTATTCGTGTGTAGTGACGATGTATTTAACAACACTTTTGAATTGCCGCTTATCGCCGACAACGATAAAAACACTTGTTTTTTACATATCGCGCACCGTCTTCAAAAGAGACACAACTCAGAATTACACGTTCAAAAATGCGAAAAACTATTTTTTAGCACATGCTAATCATATGGGCAAGGAAGACTTTACCTTAGGGGTTTTCAACAAATGATTACAAAAATTTGCTCCACCTTTTGCTGGAAGGTAAATAAAAGTGCTGTGTTTTTAATGCATACTTTTAAAAATGCCAAATTTTGAGTTGTGTCACTTTTGAAGAACATGTGCGATATGTAGACGGCGACTTTATGATTTTTTTACCGATATATTTTAATATGTCTAAGTGAAAACACAGTACCTACTTATAGTAGAAATAAAATGTATAATGACTGAAAACGGCAACCAATTCAATAGTTATATTTTGTGAATCATTGCATCCAAGTGTTTACAGCATTCTTTTGACTTACGCGAATGCCTTTATATTTTTATTTTATAGTTCGTTTAAGCCATCAAAACTGCTGAGTATTTCAAGCTTCAAATAAAATATTTCCGAAGTAAGTTAGAAACTTCAAATCAACCGTACAGTTGATTGCTGTGTTGCCGGCAGCGATAGCAAGATGGGGTCATTATTTCGCAGTGAAGAAATGACCTTGTGTCAACTTTTTCTGCAGAGTGAAGCTGCCTACGCTTGCGTCTCAGAATTAGGCGAGTTGGGTCTAGTGCAATTCAGAGATGTAAGTACATTTTTATGAACTGAAAATTTGCTACTCTTATTTGTGTTATACTCGTATTTTAATCTCTAGCTCAATCCCGATGTGAACGTCTTTCAACGCAAATTTGTCAATGAAGTTCGACGTTGTGATGAAATGGAGCGTAAATTACGTTATTTGGAAAAAGAAATCAAAAAGGATGGCATACCAATGTTGGACACGGGCGAGAGCCCTGAAGCTCCACAACCCAGGGAAATGATTGATTTGGAAGTAAGTGGTCGGGTTGCAAATCTACATACATATGTACATATACACACACATATGCATATTTGTATATATGAAAAGATTCTTGTTAATTCTGATAATATAGTTTGCTCTTAATTAAACATATTATTTTAAGGCCACTTTTGAAAAATTGGAAAACGAGTTGCGCGAAGTAAATCAAAATGCGGAGGCACTGAAACGCAATTTTTTGGAATTAACCGAACTAAAACATATTTTGCGTAAAACACAAGTATTCTTCGATGAGGTGAGTTGGTTTATTTACTGCTTTTTTTCTTAAATGGATAATTGATATACATACACATTGGGCTAACCATAAGCTAATTGCTAACAATTTTTTTTTTGTTGTTTAGTGTGCAAACCAATACATATGTAGAATTGTTGCCTTAAGCACTTTTTTACACCAATATTTATTTGAATTTTCCAAACGATTGATTGAATAAAACACGTCTAAGTTTTTGAATTAAATATTTGACAAATCCAATAGTAATTGTTTACTAATCTACCATTGAGATACACTGTACAGAAATCAATTATGTACCTAACCATTTTTTCTAAACACAGTTATACATACATACGTGACCCGAATAACACAATGAATCTAAATCATTTTGAATGGAGCTTTATTTAATGTTACCTTGGCCTTTAATATGCTGTGTATTTTGGCATGCTGCAGTCGTACACGGTAACTTAAGTTTGCAAAATTTAAAATAAAAAACACTTATATCATTAAATCGGGCTTTTGGAGTTGAGATTTATTCGATACAAGTGAAATTTGTCAAGTTACAAACGTCTGCAGTGTGTAAAACTATTCGCTATTATAACTAATAATCGTATAGAAACAAGGGCTGGGACTATCTATATATTCAAATATACAAATAATACGTGTATCCGGTTAATATTTGTTCATTTTGTTAATTGGGCTATACGGATATTCTAACAGTATTTGATCGGACGCGTTAAAGTTGCAAAATTAATAAATATAACAAGTCATTAATACACGAGGGGCTATTTTATTGTCAATTTTTAGATTCGAATACCCGGATAACTGGATATCAATACAAATATACTAGTCGTATATCCGGATATTCGGATTTATTGTTCAAGTACTTGAATATCCCGATTTTCCAAATATACAAAAAAAAAATTTGGATGGAACTCCCAGCCGTAATATATACCCCCGTGCATTTTTTAACACAATTAAATATGTTTTAAACAACTGTTAAAAAGCTTTTAATAAAACACGCAATTGCACATACATACATATGCCTACAATAAAGACTCCTAATACCTTAACAATCTATCATTTGCACATGAAATGGTTAAAGCCCTTTCCTCTCTCTTAACACACCCTTACCACCAACCAAAAACCAACAGCAGGCACACTACCACAGCATCATCTATAAATTTATTTATTTATTTTCACAAATAATATGTGCATTTTCATTTTATTATGTGCGGTTTGAATATCTTTTCTCCTCGAGTAAATTATTCACTGTATTTTAGCTATGTTATGCTTTGGTGCTGCCTTTATTTAATTTCTTTTGATAGCAAACTTTCATTTGCTTTCTCTAATGTCATTTTTTCCTGGCCATTGCAATGGCAAAAATTGCAATGACTAAGTTGGGCATTAAATATTAATAATGCCCTTGTTATTACATTAATACAACTTAATAGTCATTACGACTGTTTCCACATGGTTTTTTTTTCAAGGTTCACAATTTTTGTCTATGTCAATGTCTAGCGGAAACTTGGCTTAGGTAAAAAATATAAATAACTGCACTCCTTTAACTACTTCGGCAAGCTTTTTTTTGTGGTAATAAATTAGGAGTTCCATAACAAAACGCAATAATTCCACTTGCTTATTACAAGGCAAATAATTATAAAAAAAATTACCTTAATGCATCTACAATGCTTTGCAATAAATTTTTACATAAAAACGCTCTTTTAGAAAAAGGACTTTTTCTACTGTAAGGATTGAACCCAGAAATATTAAAAAAAATTCGGTAAAATTAGGGTAATGTATTTTTTCTTACAACCTACATATACAGATAATTTCATCAAAATACCGGAAAAGAAAAAGTGTAATTATTGCATTTTATTTAGTTATTGTAACTAATATTCACATGGTTTTTCAGAGCAAAACGCTTAGAGCCAGTTTCAGAAGTAAATTTAAGTAAATATCCGCATGTGATTATGTGTATTTGGAAATTAATTTTCATTCTAAGGCCCAATTGGCCTAGGATGATGGCCTATTTCAGTAGAGATTGTTGATTAACTTAAAAAATTCGTTTTCAGATCACATACTTAATCTACACTTAAATGGTCAATATTGGCTATTTATATATGAGATATGCAACCCTGTGTTTGTATCAAACACTCAAGATTGATAGATAAGTTGCGTTCCCTAACTCGCAAGAAGTTGCAAGAATTTACCAGAAAGCGTTCTCGTACTCGGTTCTCTGACTTCTTTTGCTTTTTGACAGTTTAACAGTTTTTAACCCAGGAAAGTTGGCGAACGCAACTATAGGTTGTTTTATAGTTGTTTACAGTGGATCTGAAAGCCAACGAAAGTCAAATGCCATTTAAATAACAATCCAAAATTAAACTTAAGTGCCGCTTAAATATAAATTTGAAATTGGTCCTAAATATTCAAGCCGCATTTAAATGCCCAATGATGGCTTTTTAAAATCTTCAACCTCGACTTTAAATACGAACTCATAATTATCTTATATGCCACACAATCCTTAATCTGAAATTGACCCTTATCAATTAAATTGTATATTAATAATTTTATCTTATCTTATCCTTGTACTTTTGCTTTCATATTTCTTTTAAATACAAACAAACTTTAACAATTGAGTAGAAGTTTTGAGACTTTCGTGGTTTTCCAGCCATTTTCGGTTTAAGTAAATAACCCAAATATATGTATCTAAATATTTAAAAAAAATTTCATAGACTAATTTTCTTTTGTAAACGCTCTTAGTATTAGCAATGTTTATAAGTACAATAAATTGTTTTTTGTATCTTTTATTTATACCCCTTTACATTTGATTTTCTGTTGCTATTTTTAAAAAATACGTATATTAAAAGTTCAGTTATGCAATACTTAGACTTGACTTGACTTACCTAGAAACTTAGACGCTATTACTTTCTACATTTCTCTTGTTGTACATTTTCTCTTTGTTTTGATTCTCAGCACTTGTAAAATTGTAATTGTTGCACACGTAAAATTGTAAACGTTTAATTTGCTTTTACACCAAAATCGATAAAAAATTACCATTAAAATAAATGTACATATTTACACGTGTCAAATTGTGATTTCTTTATTTGCTTTCTGTCTTTGTTTGAAGGTTTGTTTTTCGATTGCCAGGTGTACAATTTTCAAGTCAAGTCAAGTGAAGTCTAATGGCTGGTTTCTCCAACTCAATTTAACTTAGTTTAGCCACTTTTTGGACTTAAGTCAAAAGTTAGCCTACGTTTTATACAGCATATTCTTGACTAGGTCGAGGAAATTGACTTAACTAAGTGAAGTTGAGTTGGAGAAACAAGCCCTAAGTCTGGCATAACTGAGCTTTAAGAAAGCCATATAATTTGACGCATGATAAAAATATAGTAAGGAAGAACCGCTGAGAGGCACTTTTAAAATTCTAGATGTTTCCAAGCAATTTAATTTTTAAATTTACTCACAAACACACACAGATATTTTCATTTTCTATCTCAAGAAACAACAATTTCGAACAATTTAAATTCTGCCTTATCCTGAGTTTCGCCAAAAAAAAATTCACCCGAAAATTTTTCATCCGCCTATAGTAAATACATGGAAACGGAAAGTGAACTGTGAACCGGTTCGGCGAAAATGATACTCATGATAAGTCTAATTTTTTATTTTCAATTTTGGGCGTGTGTGAGTTCTATTGGGAAAGCTGGTGAATAATATTTTTGCTATGGTGAGACAGTTTTGCCAATCTACTGTGTGAAATGAAATCTTTTTAGACAGCAGTAATTTTTTGATAACCGCAGATTTAGGCGGAATAAAATATTACAAATTGAAGTGAAATTAATATTTTAAGAAAACATCCACCATCGTTGATTGCAATGCATCAATTTAAGCTTTTATTTAACGAAAAATTACACACATCAACAATAGGAGTGTTCGCTATGCAACTGCCAGTAAGAATTAGCCAGTAACAAAATTCGGAGAACAAGGTACCTTACTCTCCCAAAGAGAGAAACTTACTAAGTCTGCGTTCAAACACGGAAACTCGAGTTTCTTATTATCGGCGATTTCTCTTTTGGTGTTGCCCTTTGCATTCACACACAGACAATTTTGTACGCAATTGTTGTTGTCAGCTGTGAATCGCCAACTTGAATTACTCAGACGAACGAGAGCACAAAGCGTGTTTCCCGAGTACGGGCGACTCGGTACCCGTCCCCTTTCCTCGTCGCTCTCTCCCCTACAAGCCTCGAGTTTCCGCAACAAAAGTTTTCGTGTCTGAACATCGACTTAGTTTTGCGCGAACAGGAATTAGCAAACATTAGCAAGCTTCACTGCCAGCTGGCGTCCACAGTTGCATTTCAGGCATAATACATTTTTTAAATTATTTCAGGTAGAAACCAAAACAGGACCTATACGTATATTTCATCTTATTCTGACTTTCTTCAACATACGCTTCAATTTCATTGTGGAGGTCACGGTCGGATTTCCTATATCGACAGTGGTGTCGAGTGCGTTCCGATTGCGAATACAGCTTTTTCAGCCGAGTACCTTTCAAATGTTTGGAATTAATTAAATTAATTGAATAAACGAATATTTACATACTTCTTTTATTAATAAATCGCAAAAGATTGTTCATTTTTAAATTTAACGAACTCGTTGATTCAAATTAATGTTGACAAAAATGCAACCGTGTGCCACAATCCTGCTTGCAAAATCTAGTTGTGTTCGCGTAGCTGTTAATTGTTCATGTTTATCAAAACTTACAAGTTTTTGCGTTCGCGTACGCAAAAAACTTGCAAAGTAGGGGAAATTGAGAGAGCAAAGTGACATTTCATTTTGAGGGGAAGCTGCTGGTTTCTGTTGGAAAAATTTTTGCCAACAGCAATTTGCCAACAGGAAAACAGCTGATCAAAAACAGCTGGTTGGCATTTACGCAAATCAGAAAATTGAATTTGATGGTTTGGACATTAAAAATTACAAAATGCGACTAATTAAACTTGTAAGAAATAAGTAGTTATTTCTTTAATCAATAAACTGTGTCAGTATAACACTTTGTGATGACTTATCGTATGTTTTAATTTTACACTTTTGAATGTAAACAAAAATTATATCAGCTGTTCGTCTAACTTGCAAGTTTCAGCAAATTTTCTGTTCGCGTACTATTTGGGATATTTTTCTCTTGTGAGAGAACAGATGACATTTAGCCGGTATTTGGCAGTTGGTTCGTTTTTACTGGAGATTTTAAACGAACGCACCTTCTAACTGGCAAAAATTTTCCCAGCACGAATTTGCAACTTCCCTTCCAAATGAAATGTCAAAATTGTGCTCTCTCCTTTCAACGATTTGGTAACAATTCGTACCAACTTGTACAAATTTTTTGCCTAGCGAACACTCCTAATCTTTGCGATAGTCAAAATTTTCTATGCATTTGTCAAAAATTTCCCTAGCCTCATGAGCTACTGAAATTTTATTCACCTCGTAGTTGTCAAAAATTTACTCGCCGCGAACTTTGTTACCGATTCACACACGCTCTTTATATGATTTATATGATTCTGGCAAACATAAAAAAATCATGTCCGACAAATTGAGAGAACGGTTCTACCTTGCTATGTTTTTATCATGGTTTGACGTTTGAGTTTGCTTGAGCTTTCGGCATCGTCATCCTTTGCTTACAGCGCTAAATGAGCACAAAGTAAAAAGTCGCTATAGCTATTTTCTCAATTCGGAAGTTTTAGACCGACAGACATTCATAATTAATAATATTGAAATACAATAAATTTGTTGAAAAATATATTAGAAACTTAATTTCAATTATTCGAAATAATTTCGAGGCAAGTTGTCAGTATGGATTCTGGACTGTATTCTCTTCGTGCTATCGATAACAATAACTAGATATGTATGCACATAATTACTGGAATCATATTTGTATGATTAATAAAAATTTGATAAAAATAGGAAAGGAAACAATTTACTTTAAACAATTGTTTAATATGATTTATTAGGCCAAAACACAATAAAAAAACCGGAAGCAATTAACGTTTTTTGCATGTTTATATATATATATATTTTTTAAATAATATTCGGGAAAGATAGAGCGCAGACGCGCGTGCTATGTGCAAACTGCTCACGGAGGAAAACAATCGCAAGCGATGATGGCAACACACAAATTTGAACTTTTTTCATGTATCACAGTGTTGGGTAAAACTAATGCGAAAAACGCTCAGGCAAAATTGATTACTATTTAAAAAAGAAAAATAATAAACTTGGATAAAAATTGGTTTGTAAATTATTTATTTTTTATTCAAAAATCTCATATGTATGTATACATACAGATCGTCACCTGAAATACAAAAAGACGTAACAACACCGTAAATGAAATGGGAAAAGTCGTGATTTTTTTTCATAAAACGATGTGGCGAATTGCAATTCGATGAAATCCATCATATGAATCAAAAAGTGAATTTGGAATTTTTTATTAGTTATGACTTTTTGCATTTCAACGATGATGTTTGTTACGTGTTTTTTGCATTTTAGGTGACGATATGTATGTGTTGTGTGTATGTACTATAAGCAATTTATTGAACTTGTTCCTCCCAATACTGTATATACAAAAATGTACGTACTCTAACTGCACATCCTTTGGTTTTATTTGCTCCATTTCTTCAATTCTTAATTTATATCATTAATTGTTCGGGAACTTCTATAAGTACTTATGCTTTCAATCTTCACTTCCGCTGTTTGCTTGCAGTTTTTGTGTAGTCTCCTACTAAAATACACACAAAAAAAAAAAAAATAAGTTCAGTTTGTTTTTTTTTTAGCTTTTTGTTTAAATTTGAGTTAAAAAAGTTGTTTGTTTATTTTCCTTTGTTTCGTTTCTTTGTTTGACACGCCTGCGTTACGTTCATTTGTTATCTGCAAATCAAATCAAACCAACTCAAATGAATCTAATAAAAACAACACCCACACGAAATATCCAACTTCAAACTGGCCACAAACAACATTCAACTGCTCAATCAAACTTTGTGTATCTTCGTTATATGCTACCCGTTTTGTACCTCAAATCCTGTATACTATAATTACCTACTTACATAAATCCACTCCCAACAATCAACCATCCCAACGAAATACTATCCCCATTCATCGATCTGTGCGCCCATTTTTTCGGTTATTATGCGTTTGTTTGTTGTAAAGACGGTGCCTACAGTTTCTTACAATACTTCCTCCTCCACTGCTACTTTTAAAACACGCTGGCGTTATGGACGGAGACAGATGGCCGATAACCAGAATGAGGATGAGCAGGCGCAGTTGCTGGGCGAAGAAGGCGTGCGCGCCAGTCAGCCGGGACAAAATTTGAAACTTGGGTAAATATAAAAAAAAAGTTGCATCTCAACTCCGCAACAACCATGCTTTCATGTTGTATAACAAATATTACAACAGAAAACTCGGATCAACGAAATGATATTGATGAAATATTTACATACATATGTTATTCTTTTCAAACAAGATTTTTACTGCAAAAACTAAACTCAGTTGTATCGTTGTGCCAAGACTCAACGAACCGGGTCTTAATTTCATGTCGAAAGTGGGAACTTTAAACCGCCAATTACTCGCTTCAACTTACTCATCTTAATGCACTTTTGGGCACAATGCACGGCCAAATACATAATCTCTATCTGATTTTATAATGATTTCGTTCCTCGATAACTTTAGTACTTGTGTTTGTTTTTGTTATTATTTGATCTACATATATGCTTATTTGTGGTGCATTGCTTAACTGTTTGTCAAATTTTGTTGTATCATTTACATTGTACTATAATATTTTTGTACATATTTATGTCCCACTGTAAGTGCGCTTTTGACTGCTGCAAAACATTTGAATATATTTTGAATCTAAATAGTTGGATAAGCAGCTTAACTTGTGAAATTTCGCCAAAGTTTTTGTCAACTAGACATAAAATGCATACATACATACATACATACATACAAAATCACATATCATACATAATGTAAATATATGTGTGTGCGCGCGCGTTTGATGATATCCTTGATCCTATTTCCTACAGTTCCATGGTCGCTCTACCTATACCGTGTCAGTCCTGTCAGTCGTGCTGCAGCAATCGTAAACTGGTGTTGGCATTTAAAAATCTTTGTTATTAATACATATATATGAAACATTTATCAAACCTAAGCGGAAAAGAATATAGCACCGAAAAATGCACATATAATTTGTTGGCATTTGATAAAGTCACAATCACATCCTCCCATTTATGTACATATGTACTTGATACATATCGCATATTCAATCAAATCTCCGAAATATACACATCAGTCTTGAAAGTGTTGGTTATTGGATCGCGCAAATGGTTAAGGCTCCCAGAATATTTGCATTAGTCTTTAACTTTAAATGTTACACTAAATCCTTTGCTAAAATTATTGCTAATTCAACTACTAATATCAATTGGAAAATAATACTTAACTATGGTGATGGTGCTTAGGCAGTGCAGGCCAAATACTACATACATACGTAAATGTAATTATTTTAATTATTTTGCTCACTCTTACAATTACACCTACGTATATTCTCAAATGGCATTCGAATACTTAGCATACGATTTGTATATTTCTTAAAATTTGTAGCAGGAGGGTGGTCTCAATACCACAACTGAGTCGATGACACGCGCATTAATCACCGACGAAGTGCGAACTGGCCACTCGATGGGTCCAGTTCAGCTTGGGTATGTATTGTATTGCTTTATTAAGAAATCAATGCCAATGGCTTAATCAATTAAATATAAACAAAAAAAAAATACATATACTCAATGGCTCAAATGCAAAATATGTGTGTACATATGTATACAGTATGTAACAAAATTGAGCAAGTGAAACTATTTACATACATGTGGATATACAGTTACTCCCAAAATTGAGCGTACGGCTCTTGCTTTGTTAATATTCGCAATGTTTTAGATGCTAAAATTTTCGGTAATTTTGTATTAAAATATGGCTTATATTTCAGCAAACTCCATTTAAATCCAAGAATGATACTGTGTAGAAAAATTAAGGAAAATCTGCAAAGTTTCAGCAAAATCGCCAACTTTTTAATACGAATTTCTAAAAAGAATTCAGGTATGCTTTTTCATAGCCCATTAAATTTCAATATAATAATGTGCAAATTTCAAATCTCTAAAAAATTGCGTTGGTTTTTGACAATTTTTTTGTTGACTGATTTTTTATATGAAAAAAAGAAATGCGTAGGGCAGCCAGCAAAAATATTCTCAAAAATCAACGCGAATTTTTAGACATCTGAAATTTGCACATTATTATACTAAAATTTAATGGGCCCAAAGTTATGGGTAAAAATCGATGGTCCTCTTCAATAACGGCCTTAAGTGTTAAGTGTTAAGTGGCACATGTCTCAAATCCTTGTCTAATTCATGTCTAACGGTCTGATTATGCATACTTCGCATAACTTCGCACAACCATTTGTACCAGTGCACTAAAAGTGTAACTTAAGAAAATGTGATGCAAAATCTAAACTCAACAGATCGTTAAGTTTTTAAAAGTTCTGCTAATTTCTGGGCAATGGAATACGGTGAAGGCGGATTCATCGTTCTAGTTCTAAACTCTCTTGCAGAGAATGCAACGCAACAATAACCACATGGAAGAAAAGTTCTGAACTAAAACGATGAATCCGCCTTAAGAATATGTATGTTCTTATTTGAAAAACATTTTTTATTGCTGTCATAAATTTTCAGCCCAAATACATAATTGTGTGGTACAATGAAGACATGAAGAAGAAAAATGGTTTTGTGCGTACCAGCAATTTTTCCCTGCACTCTCACTTGGGAGCGTAATTTTGCTATTTGACAATTCTACAGGCTTGCATCGTGTCATAATTACAGTAACAGCTCTTCCAAAATATTAAAATGTGGTTTTTGTTGTGTCATAGCAATCTACATAAATATTAAATAAAATTCATAAATACCGTTTAATTTGCTCAATTCTGCTACATATTGTATACATATGTATGTATGTATGCCTTGCTCAAAACGTTCTCCGCTCAGAATAAAAAAAAATCGCACACATTCTACAAAAGCGTGTTGACTAAACATTGTTAATTTTAAATCTTATCTACTTAACATATTCACAGTTTAGACATAAGCACATGTATATCGCTCGTTTGCCAGAAAAAACGCTTTCAAGTTTTCTTCAAAACAAATATGTAAATAGCAACTAAAGGTGGCCTCAGACAGATGCGATATGATATCGTATTTTATGTGATAACGATAAAAAGTAAAGCCCCTCGAATTAGTGCTTAGGTGATAAGAAATCAAAAATCTGCAGCCCTAAAATGGAAAAGTGATTCATATCGTGCGATGTTGTTGTTGTTGTAGCGGCACTACTAAGCCCCGCCTATTTCGGTTCGTCCTTCAATCATTGTCTCAAGCTCAACTAATAGTAAGCCCAGGGAACGGGCAGTTTCAATATGGTCGGACCAATAAGGTTGGGCTGATAGGTGAGTGAGATTAAGCTGGTATGTAAAGAGTGATGTCGTGCGTAAAGTCTCCACATGCCGGACACTCATTGGGGATATTGGGGTCGAGTCTGAACAGTTAGCTGTTGAATATCCAGACCGTAACTGGGCCATGGTAATGCGGGTCTCTCATGGCAGTTAAAGCTGTGGTAGGGTGGAAGTCTAAATTTCTCCTAGTAGCGTGGAATAGCAGACGGTGTCAAAACGCCTTTGACAAGCCCAACGCTACTAGGAATCTTCTCTCACATGGGCCACGAGTTATTTGGTTGTTTATGGCGTTAAGTGCTGTGCACTTTACGGAAACCATGCTGATGCTTCGCTGGGGCCAGGTGGTGGGTGAAGTACGGGGGTTGCGGGGTCTCTTTGTTGGCGGGTTTCTCGGTTTTAACTGTGGAACCACTCTCCCTGATTTCCACACATTAGGAATGATGAGAGTGGCCAATGACAGGTTGAGGACCTCCTTTAGGTATGCTACTCTCGCGTGACCCAAATGTTTCAGCACCAGCATGCAGATTCCGTCGGGTGCAATGGCTTTGGAGGCTTCCACCCTCCCGATGCCCACCTTCACTTCGCCGCTGGTGAAAGTAAGTGGTGCACTGTTTTTAGGTAGTTTGTGCAGCCTCCTGGTCACTCGACGTTTGGCTCTGTCTACCGAAGTATGCAGTGCGAACTGCCGGCTAAAATAGCTCGCGCATTTCTTCGAGTCCAACGATGTGCGACCATCGAATGAAATTTCCACTCTGTCGTCGCGGCTGTTTGGGTTGAACAAGGACCTCACGGTTGACCAGAACTTACTCACTCCAGAAGCGAAGTTACGGATTTCAAGTGCTCACTTTTTCCGCTTATGCTGATTTAGCAGTTGCTTTATCTCCAAATTATGGTCCTTCAGGCGAGGATCCCCGGGATCGACCTGGCGTAAGTGGTCGATCATTTGCTAGAACAGCTGCTTCAGCCGGGAAATTTGAGCGGACTTCCGCGATGCATCCGGATAGTATGAAGCGAACCGCTGCGGCAGTGACTACCCTGCGGAACTGCCGTTCGCCAGCGTTTACGTCTTAGGGTGTGGGAGGACGGCGAAGTTGGTTCGGTGGTCCGCGGAAGCAAAGTCGGTAGGCTTATTGATCGAAATGGCTATGGGCTGATGGTCTGAAGCCAGCGTTAGCATAGGTCGCCATGTTATGCTATTTATCAGACCAGCGCTGGCAATTGTTACGTCTGGCGAGCTGCTGCAGTTGCTCACAATCCTGGTGGGGGCGTCGTCGTTCATAGTGCAGAATGTCAAATCGTCTATCTGCTCAGCCAATAGGTTTCCCTAACGATCATTTTACAGTCTTCAGTGCCAAAGGTCGTGGTGCGCGTTGAATTCACCTACTACCATTCGCTTTTAACCTCTGAGTAGCGCACAGCTCCGGACAGCTATGCTCTGACATTCTAGGGAGGTGTCCCTCGGAGCGATATCTTCTTTGTTTAGACTATACTGCACTGCACAGATGGTGTGGGTAACCAAGAGCTTCTGGTCGGCTCGCACACACGAGTTGGAGAGGCTGGTAGAGTGGTGTGAGAGGTGCGGGGGTAGGCAGGATTGCTGTTGATCAGGGGAGTTCCTTGGAGATGTGCAGGCTCTTGGGATTCTAGTTCGCACCTGCGCGTTGCGCGAGCGGGTAGCCGTGGAGGCGGATGGTGCCGTTTGACTTGAGCAACAGAAGCATGTTTCTGGTACGGGGTTAGGCTCAATGACCGTCCGGAGAAGAAAGGATGCGGAGCAATCCGGCTGAAAGGTATTGCTCCATGCACGTAAAATGATTGATGGGGTTCACCGATCTATACCCGATATAAACGGGGTTAGTTCGCCGAAATAACAGTCCTTGGTCAGGTAAAACCCGAGTCATTCCCATACGTAGAACCGGCTGTCGTGCGAATGAAACGATCAATTTTGCTCGCTGCGGTACAATTTTTTAACGCATCGTATCACAACGTTATACCGCATCTGTTTGAGCACTCCCGTATACCGCAGTGGTTTGTATTGATGGCATATCGTAAATTTTTGTATTGTTTTTTTTAGTTACACCCGTAACAGTGACTAAAACTCATAGCTGGTTTGGATTAAATTGTTTTTGAATATTTTTTTTTCTAGGCATTGTGTATACCGCGCAAACCTATTAGAAAATACTCGTTTTAAAGATTTTTATATTACAGTTTAAGAATTAAGCCTTAAAATGTGAGTTAAAATGTCACACTCGTCACCGTGGAATGAGCCATCAGAGATCAGTGAATTTTCTAAAATTTTTTAACTATATATTTTTAAACTTTACTATCCAATTAAATTTGTTAATAAAGTTCTGCACGGAGAACGTTTGAGCCACGTTTGTAAATAGCCTATTGACAAATTTATTATACAAACACTAGGTTTATGACTACACAATAGTACACACACTAGAGCCTACTAAAACAGCTTTTAAACAAAATTATTAAGTGCATTATAAGGAAGTGTTAAAATACCATTTAGTGTCCTTAACATTTTTTGTACTAAAATAGCTTTCTTTTCTTACTGTTGATATGCTGCTATTGCATTTTATGCGTATTGGTGCTTCAGCTCAGCGTTACTAATGCTTAAAGCCGCTTATGAAAGCGAATAATTTAATAACATAAACAAGGATTAAGCTTAAATTGTTGTATCAAAAACTAAAAGCATGCCTTTCATAAAAAGAGGTAAACAGAAACCCAGTCACATTGCTCTTCTTGTTTTTAAATTTCTACCGTTCGGTCGCCTAGAAATTACATCACAACACTTACAGGGCAATTCTGACTAAGATAGTAAAAAGTCTTTCGGAAGATAAATGAAAGACAGATGACAAGATAGTTCGAAATACTTTTGTTGTTCTAGCACAAGTCTTAGAAAAAAGCTTTCTCATTCACCACTCGTGGTGAAAAGTTATTTTCTGAGAAAGCACTTGTATGTACGTACATATATCATTTAGCTAGCGTTGTTCCAACAATCGAGTGTCCGAGTGAGCAAAGCGCAGGCGTGCCATCCGATAGACTCCAGTTCAATTGTCTTTTAATGCTGGCCAAAATGTGCACATTGTGCAGTTTCGCCTTCGTGTTTTCACACCAACGCTAACGCGCCTGGTATACACGTATACAGATGTTTTATTATTCGTGTGACCGGCACTGTTTAAGATTATATTGTTTTAAAATGATACAAATATATTTCTGATTTAATTTATTTTTTGAAACTGATTTTATGTCAATTTTTAATGTAATTTTTTTCTTTCTTAATTTAATTTTAATTTAATGTTTCGCTGTTATTGCCTTAAAAATAAAAATATTTTTTATTTCACTTAATTTTCAGGAATGTAATAAATTTTTTCTTTTAATTATTATTTTTTATTTTTTAGTTATTTATTTTATTTTTAAATTTTATTGCTTAAAAAAGAAATTTTTTAAATTATTTTTTTTCCTTTTTTGTTTTCTTAACTTAGTTTATTAATTTTTAAATTAATTTGTTTTTCTTTTGTTAATTTTATTTTCTTTTAATTGTTAGATTTTATTGTTTTGAAAAGAAAAATAATTTTTCATTAATTTAATTTATTTTTGCGACCTTACTTTACTTGTTTTTAATCGACTTCACAAAAAGGAAAAGATTATCAATCCGTCGGAATATTTTTATTTATTTATTTTTTTTTTATGTATGTTACCGCATAACTTTGGATTTCTTTAATTCTCTTATTAAAGGAAAGTTTTAAATCAGATCATTGGATCATGAAGCAAATAACGATAATCTTTAATTTTTATATGAGAATTGAAGTCGGTTTTGTGTTTTGCTTAAAAATTACTTGTTATTTTATTTTTTGCCTTTTTTAATTCAATTTTCTTTTAATTTCAAGATTTTGTTTCTAAAATAAAATTTCATCATTTTATGTGCTGGGTAGGAGCTATTTCGGCCGTTGAAATTAAAGCGAAAATATAATTTTCCTTTTTTCTCCTACGCGTTTCAATGCATTTTGCGTCTTCCTCAGGGAGTCTGCTTTATTTGAACGATAAACAATAAACAATATACATGGTTAACAATAACTATTACATACTCATCAAATTTGAAACTCAACAGCGTCGCTTTAATTGCAACGGCCGAAGCAGCTCCACCAAGCACACAAAATTTTAAGGAATTTGGCCCTATCAAAATAAGTATTTTTATTTTATTTTATTTTATTCTTAAGTATGTACTGTATGTACTCTTTTTTATTTATTTTTTCTTTTTCTAATTTTATTTTTAAATTGTCTTAAAAAAATTATTTCATTTAATTTTTAAAAATATTGTTACTTATTTTTGCTTTATTTTCATTTTATTTTATTTGTTCTTTTTTTAATTTAATTTGATTTTCTTTTATTTATTGGTTTTTATTGTTAATAAAATATACATGCATGTTCTTTTAATTTAATAAAAAAACGTATTGATAAAAGGCGAACAGCTTAACGATAAGACCTCCTCGTTGGCACATCTTTGAATTAGTCTTTCGAAAGACAGTAAAGAGCTTTCAAGACAGTTGCCAGAATTAACAATTGTCTTTCATTTAGTCTTTCGAAAGACAGTAAAGAGCTTTCAAGACAGTTGCCAGAATTGACAATTGTCTTACGAAAGAATTTTGTCTTTCATTTAGTCTTTCGAAAGACAGTAAAGAGCTTTCAAGACAGTTGCCAGAATTGACAATTGTCTTACGAAAGAATTTTGTCCTCATCGCAATTATTTTATACAATGGTTCAAAGTTTAATTTTCTTGATCGAAACTCCAATTTTAAAAACATTGTATGTGTTACGCGACCTCAGCCATAATTCCTGTCCTCGGAGACCTATAGTCGAATTTAGCGGATCTTTTTGAGCCGGTTTTGAAAAAATGTCAGCTAGAGTGATTAATGGTTTCATAAAAATGTTAAGCACCAAATTTAACTAGGGGTCACCGAAAAACAAAGCGGTTTCCTACGTATACAAAGTTTGGGATGCAATGGGGCAAACACTTTCTGTTTTTCTAATTGCGAAGTTATAAGAATATTATTCATAAAAAATACTGTTTCGCACATTATTTTTTTTTTTCTTTTGCTTGGATAATAGCACTGGTAATGCATATACAAATGTATGTGTATGAACTACCATTCTTATAAGAACTATCCGCCTTTATGCACCGAGCCTCGTACATTTTTAACGGCGGTTATATCCGTGAAATATATACCGAGAAATACAAAATTTAATTGAATTCGAAAAAAATAAACTTCTAAGCCCTATAGTTATGCACTTCACACCAAAAATATAGTAATAGGTACCCATAAACACAAATACAAAAGAAAACAGAAAAATAACAACAAATTCATAGAAAAAGTTAGCCAATTGAATAAATTCTGCAATACTATTTTTCCATTCCATATACTACACTTACATTGGCGCTCAAAATGAGCTTGCTTTTAGTTACCTGGATAAGATCAATGAGCGTGAAGATTATCTCCCATGGTTTGTACTAAAAAAAAAAAAAACATTACAACAATTTTATTCAATCAGTTAAAAAGTGAAATTCATTTTGTTAAAGTCTGAAATGCATTGTTCCCATTGTAAATTGTAGACGCACGCAAGTCCCGAATCGTGTACACATTTCGCTCATAGTCAGTTGTCTTGCTCGCCTGATTGTTTGTATGTTTGTACAGTATGTGCAATATCTTTACGTATGTATTCACATATCCATAGTACGTAAGGATCACCACCAAGCCACCCACATCGCCAAGTGTCGGACGACCAGCGTCCAGTTATTTTTTTAGGGTAAATTTTTCGCATGCGCAGTTGATTACATACACTTCATTATTAATACATACATATTGTAGGCGCACACATATTATCTATATATCATTTTATTTTAAGAATTCTTATTTTTATTCAAATTTAAGTGCGCATGTATGTACGTACATATGAGCCAAGCTAATTTTTCCATTGCACCATACCTACATATTATTAATTTATTAATCACATGTTTGCTGATCACGATGTTATTTACGTAACAATTAAAAAAAAAGAAGAAAACAAACAAGACAGAAAGAAAGAAAAGAATATGCTTTAAGCGTAGCATTAGCGTTCGGCCACGACTAATTTTTTTGAGTTTAGTTTTTGCATTTGTAAATAATCAACATTTCCATTTGCGTTAATTTATATATTTTTTTTTATATATTTTTATGTATTTATTTTTGTTCCACATTATCAATTGTATACTTTTTTTGTTTTTTTTTGTATATATTTTAATGGAATTTTTCTTTCATACATATGTTCTGAATAAAGCTTTGTTGCTGGTGTCATTTTGCGCGAGCGTTTGGCCGCATTCGAGCGGATGTTATGGCGCGCCTGTCGCGGAAATGTTTTTTTGCGTCAAGCCATGATTGAGTCACCGCTGGAGGATCCGTCTAATGTAAGTAAAAAATAAAAAAAAAAAACTAAAAACAAAATATAGCTTAAAGTACTACCTACCTACTTAGTAGCTCAAGCTCAAACATACCAATGCCCTTTGTATTTTGATTAAAAATATTATCCTATATTGGTTTCCGGTGTCACATGAAAATACGGCTTAGGGATCCTAGCTGGAAATTTTGTCTGATATTAATTGTTGTTGTTCCTTTCTTCACAATCTAATTTCTTTCAATTCCAATTTGTACCGGAACCTGGAGAACACAAGCTCGATTGGTCAGGCCAAGAGTGTTCAGGCACTCGCACCACCAGTTTAACTTTAACTACCTGATGATATCTGACGGTCATATTCGGATTCCATCAGTTTCGCTTGATATTGAAGTCCACGCATCTTTCTATAGCGTAGAAAAATGGATTCTCATATCGCACATTTGCTGCCAGAGTGCGATAATAATAAATAGAAATAAAAGAATAAAAATAGAAAATCTAAAATGTTTTCGCTTCCTGAAAGCAAACCTTTACTAGTTAATTTATGATTTTAACAATGGTCCATTGCAAAAACATCTTCCTAAGACAAAAATCTGGACGACTTAAACTAGCTTCCAGCTGCGTTTTTCTCGAGTTTGCTTACTTTTGTATATCGTCGTTTAAAGTACAAAGACGCGTATCGTCATTCTGCAAAACCGCGTAACTGACATTGGCTGCCAAAATTGGATTTGCTCACACAAGCTCTTGGCTCAATCCTTGTCCATTCGTCCTGAAATATACTAGGCAGAAAAGCGATTTCTTTATAAAAAAGAGAACCATTTTGAAATATGAGTGTTTTTACCCTCTAGAAAATAATTTCTACAACTTCACATACGTGGTTTTGCATTTTGCTGATACGCGGTTTTGCACTTTAAACGACGATATACGCTTGTAGATACATATCTATGTACCTCAAATTAACATCCAAACAATTTTTAATATTTCTCTTTTTTAAAATTTACGCAGGGAGATCAGGTGTACAAATCTGTGTTTATCATATTTTTCCAAGGTGACCAATTGAAAACGCGTGTCAAGAAAATTTGCGAAGGCTTCCGTGCTACTCTCTACCCTTGTCCTGAAGCACCGGCTGATCGTCGTGAAATGGCTATGGGTGTTATGACACGCATTGAGGATTTGAATACTGTGCTCGGTCAGACACAAGATCATCGTCATCGTGTTCTGGTCGCTGCTGCTAAAAATTTGAAGAATTGGTTTGTCAAAGTGCGTAAAATCAAAGCTATTTATCATACATTGAATCTGTTCAATTTGGACGTTACACAAAAATGTCTTATTGCTGAATGCTGGGTACCGGTGCTGGACATCGAGACCATACAACTGGCATTAAGGCGTGGTACAGAACGCTCGGGTTCATCGGTGCCACCGATTCTGAATCGCATGCAAACTTTTGAAAATCCACCGACCTATAATCGGACCAATAAATTCACGAAAGCTTTTCAGGCCCTTATTGATGCATATGGCGTTGCCGCTTATCGTGAAATGAACCCAGCACCCTATACGATTATAACTTTTCCCTTCCTTTTTGCTGTGATGTTTGGTGATCTCGGACATGGCACACTTATGGCACTATTTGGTCTATGGATGATACGCAAAGAGAAAGGCTTGGCTGCACAGAAGACCACAAATGAGATATGGAACATCTTTTTCGGTGGACGTTACATTATATTCCTAATGGGTGTATTTTCCATGTATACTGGCCTGATTTATAACGATATTTTCTCAAAGTCTTTGAATATATTCGGATCGCACTGGCATGTCAACTATAACAAGACAACGGTGTTAAGCAATAAGCATTTGCAATTAAATCCTGGCACTGCTGATTATGAAGGAGACCCTTATCCGTTAGGCATGGACCCCGTTTGGCAGATAGCCACATCGAATAAGATTATCTTTCAAAATTCGTACAAAATGAAGATCTCAATCATATTGGGTGTAATTCATATGATTTTCGGCGTCTCGTTGAGTCTACACAATCACACCTACTTTAAAAACCGAAATGCTCTGCTCTATGAATTCATACCACAGTTGGTCTTCTTGATTATGATGTTCTTCTATTTGGCACTTCTGATGTTCATCAAATGGAATAGATATTCTGCATTTAATGAGCGTAAGTACATAATGTTGCTCTGTTTTGTAGATATAAATATCGCTAGCTTAGAGTGAAAAGTTGCTAAGTCCACTTTTTATGAAAACTCATATTTTGATATAGGAGGCTAGAGAAATTGAATACGCATCGTTTCGAAAATTATAAAGGTACTTGTTTTATTTTTTCCTCTTCAAAGGAAAATTTGCTAAGTCCAAAAGAAGCACCACAAATCCGATAAGGCCAAAATAATACGACATCTTTTAATAAATATCGAATCGTTCAGATTCTTATGGAGTTTTGCTTTGCTTTAAACGCGCAAAATGTTTGATTCAAAGTCTTGCGAAATAGTTAAAGAAAATGGCCATAGGACGATTTTTTCCTATCCGGTAACATTTTTAAAATGGGACTTAGCAACTTTTCTTTCTAAGCTAGCGATATGTGTCTTAAAATCTCACAACTTAGCTTTTTTTCTACATGTAATTATTTTACATACATACAATATTTTTTATATTTATTAGCTCCCTACTCGGCTGGATGTGCTCCTTCGATTTTGATTACTTTCATTGATATGGTTTTGGGCAATACACCCAAACCTCCAGTCGGCAAGTGCGAAACCTACATGTTTGCTGGCCAGTCGTTCTTTCAAAAACTGTTCCGTTTTATTGCACTTTGTTGTATACCGGTTATGCTGCTTGGAAAACCACTAAAGATCATTCAAGAACGACGTCAAGCAAACGTAAGTTGAAGGATGCCTGTCATCATTTATCTTTTCTAATTCATCATGGCCATTCTTCACTTATTCACATTTTTCGTCAATAAGGATACAAAATCTGGCAGTTGGTCATTGCGTTTTGCGTTTTTTTTTTTCGCTCTGTTAGTGCTCATCCATAAATGAGTGAGATTTTAAAATTGATATAAAAAAATTAACAACTTCTTGATGCAACACAACTGAAGGGATCTACAATTTTATGTAGCTTTTTCGTAGAACGTGTAGCGCGCAACTTTGCGATTCAATCAAAAAATTTTAAGAAAACTAAATATTGATATTGTAACGACTGGCACAGTTAGCATCGGTACTTATTTGGAATGATGTGACCACTTCGCAACTTAAATTTTTAATAATACCACAACTGTCTTAATCAAATTAAACCAGGTTTGGTAGATGATAAAGGCAACCGAAGAAATAAAAAGTAACCAAACGTGGATAGATCTCTTAGGATATCTTGAATCACCTCGCTGTGTGAAATTTTGGAATCTCGCTACATTATGCATTGTAGCCAAATTAATTTGCAGTTTATTCAACTTTGCACATGAACACGAACACATACATTATATATTAAAAATCGAGCATAATAACCTTATTTTGCACTCTCATCTCCTCTAAATGCAATGCATTAATTTCGGTTTTTAAAATGTTTGAAATCACGGTGTAGAAGTGTTTTAATCATTTAATTTGTTTTATTATTTTGTACTTTTACCCCTATCTTGGCAAACACAAATAACAACGTCTTGAATCAAAATTAATGACAAAAAACACTTAAATATTTCCTACCAATTAAATACATACTATACAGGAGGAGGTTAGTTGTACTCGTAGTAAATACATATGTATATGTAATTGTAAAATTTGTGTAATCAAAAATATATTTAAAGTATGTGCATGCGTGCATTTACTATTCTAACCACTGTACATTCACTTTACTTAAAAAAAATCAGCGGCAAAATCTTACCGGCGCCACCAGTGATGCTGAGGTGGGCATGACCAATGGCATAGCTGGCGGAGTTGCAGGACATGGTGGCGGTGATCATCACGAAGAGGAAGAGTTGTCGGAAATTGCTATACATCAAGGCATACACACCATTGAATTCGTATTAGGATCTGTTTCACACACTGCATCGTATTTGCGTTTGTGGGCACTCTCCTTAGCACACGCACGTAAGTAAAGGGAGTGCAATTCATATATAATTCCTAAGAGTTTATTGAATTACAAATATGTAATGTATGCATATCCAATTCTGTATGCTAACGTTTCTTTTACTTTTTGTTTTGCTTAAATCTATGTAGAATTAGCAGAGGTTTTATGGAACATGGTATTGTCGATTGGTTTGAAGCAGGAAGGGTGGACCGGTGGTATTATGCTGACTATTGTATTTGCTTTCTGGGCCATACTAACTGTCGGCATTTTGGTTTTAATGGAAGGCCTGTCAGCTTTCTTACACACTCTACGTCTGCACTGGTGAGTTGACACTGTGATAATCACACTTAACTATAAACGACTATATTTTTTCTTTTATTTTGTAGGGTTGAATTCCAAAGCAAGTTCTACAAAGGCACGGGATATGCTTTCCAACCATTTGCTTTCGACCAAATTATTGAAAATGGCGCCGCTGTCGCAGTTGAAGGTGCCGAGTAAATCTAAACTATTAAATTTGTTTGGGTTATTTGGAGTTCGCTACAATGTTGGTTACGCCACAAGCACAGTACATTAGAAAGGAAAAATTTATGCACACATACAGTTATATCGAAATAAATAATTAAAGATGTATTTATGAAGTCATGGGATTTAATGTATAACATACATAAATACATATAAAAGTTCATCAACAATCTTAGTAGAATTGCATTAACGAGAACATAATCACATACATATATAAATATATAATACATAATTAATTTAAAATCTAATGATGCTTACTGTCGCCTGCCTCTTAAACTTTCAAATGAGATTACTCCATATTTTACTCATAAATATGTACATAGGTATGTATTTTTATGCTTCATATAATTTTAAGCGGCACAAGAATTTATTACTTGAACGTTAATTTTCATCAGCAAAATAAACTATACATAAAAAAAACGTATATACTTTCTATGTACATACACAGACAAACATGAATTTAAAAGCTTAGTTCGTTATTTGCAGGTAATCGGAATATGCATTTCTATTTTTTGTTTTATAATTCTAAACATAATAGCAATTTCATACATTTTCTATATTTACTAATAGTAGTCTTTATAGAGTATTCAAAACTAAAATTATATACCAAATATCTTTAAAAGCCACTTTCTTAACAAATCCTGTGTAATGCATTAAGCAAGCATCTCAAAGTAAGAAGTCTAATTCATAGAAGAAAACAGGTTTGAAACTTAAGTGTATTGTTGTAAGAATCTCACCTAAAATTGTTGCTTAAATCAAATTACAAATTGTGTCTGTAAAGTTTTGCGCGCCAACTGCGCCACTGAGTGATGGCTTAACTTATTTGAGTAGCTTATACTTGTCTGAATATAATCAAATACAATGTAGTAAAAGTTAAAAATTTGAATAAATGTTATGGCAGCCACATGGCGAAACGCAACAGATTTGGTTTTTTGTTTTATCGGGGGTTGAATGGACATGAAGGGTGTTTAAACAGTTTTGCGTAGCACTCAATATTTTTATTTAATTTTCATGAAAAAAAAAAATTTGTAGTAACGAAATTAAATATTTAATAACAGGTTATTTTATTAAAATTGAACAACTTCAGTTTTAACAAACAAGTTGTAACAAAACTCGGGGCTATTGTGTTATAATTTGCAAAATATTGGACTGCCCACGTCCAAGTTTGTGCAACCTATTTGTGCTAGTTAGGGGCCATATAATGATTATATACACTCTTACTGTGAATTAATGAAACCAACCCAGCAGCCCAGTCATACAAATCCTATTTACTAGGCCGATTATTTAATGCTCTGAAATTAAATTAGAAGCGAATGAATTAACTTAGAACCGTTTAGTTAAAGCAACTATTAAACCTTGAGAAAGCACAAGTCATTTTTCACAAAAAGCAAGAAATGATTATTATTCAATAGAACGTTCAGTTAGACATAACGAGATAAACTTATGTAGTCATATGTGGGCGGTATCACGCCCATTTACCAAAATTCCAAATATTGTTACTTCTTTTCAAGGGATTGTTGTTAGTATTATTTTGAGTAAATATTAATAGGAATAAATTAGTGTCCTTACATATAGAAATATAGAAGTTTCAAGCATTTCTGAAATTGACCGTTACATGAAAAGGTGCCGTAATTTTAGTCCGATTTCAATAATTTTCAACGTTTTGTTTTTATGTGGCAAGAACAATAACCGTACCGAGTTTGGCACAAATTGACAGAACGGTTATCGATATACATATCGTCGTTTAAAGTGCAAAACCGCGTATCAACAAAATGCAAAACCACGTATGTGAATTTGTAGATATTATTTTCTAGAGCGTAGAAACACTCATATTTCAAAATAGTTCTCTATTTTGATTAAAAATTGACAGGAACTTTATATACCGGTAACAAATTTTTTGTTACCCGCAGAATAGGCCAGCTAATAATTTTTTCGGTCAAGGGAAATTGGCTAAGATTAACATCACTGCTTCGACTTACCATTGTGATCAGATCCAAAAGTAAGAAGAAGAATAACAAAACAAGGAAAAGCGCGCGGAAAACACAGAAGTTTGGGCATTTTCGGCTGTATCGGCACGTTCACGGGTAATAAATTAATTATATTTTTGTGATGCTTTGTAGCAAAATGTCGGGAGATAGATCACCTTTAAGAAAAAGTACGGCCGGTTGCAGTCTTAATTCTTCTGCGTCTTCGATTGTTTCATTTCATGGTTCGTGGGCACAGGAAATGCGCAATGCTGAAAAGGACGGTTCTGGGGTACGTACTTTACAAACAAATTTAATACTCCTACTAATATGATTGTATATTTTGTTAGCGTAAGTCTCTCGATAGCAGCGCCGAATTACCTTGTAATAATAGCCTTGGAAATTCGTCAAACGACGTGATACAGAATCAAGAAAGTATGGATTCGAAACCTGCAACATCTCAAGATCGTGAAATATCGTTGAAATTTATCGAAGGCGTCAATGAAGAGAAGTTTGAGCGTTTATTGAAAGAGGACAAGCTTAAAACACCTTTCAAGCGTCGCTACTCGCAAACACCTAGTAATGATAGTCGCTCAGACAGTCCCAATGATTCGAATAGTGATAATGGAGGTAGTGATGAAAAAGGTGTTAACGGCCATAACACCTTTAAGTGTACAAGCAATCAGAGCAAATATCAATATGATTTACAAAAACGTTTACGTTATAATAGTTATGGATCTAGCACTTCCAAAGAACAACAAGTGGAGAACGATCCTGCTATATTAGCCCGCCGACAAAAACAAATTGAGTATGGTAAGAATACAGTGGCATATGAACGTTACATAGAAATGGTGCCGATACGCAAACGCAATCGTAGTCATCCACGAACGCCGGATAAGTATGGCAAATATAGTCGTCGTACATTCGACGGATTGATAAAAGTGTGGCGCAAGCAACTGCACTATTATGATCCGGAGCCTGCTGCTGGCACAGCTAATGGTGGCGCTGATGACGACGATGATGACTCAGATTAGGATCTATATACTTTTAATTGAATTATCTTTCATAGCGAAAAATGTGCAGATAAAAAAATTGGCAGTGTCTATACACACTCGCCACGGTAACTTTTACCGTAGTTCCACGGTAGAAATTACCGTCGATTTACCGTAAATCCGCGGAAAAATTACCGTGGGTTTATAGTGATTTTCGAAGCGTGCGAATAACTGTCTTTTTTTTAACAGTGGATCTACGGCAAAAATTAGTGTGGATCCGAGGTTATCTACATGCTCGTTAATATCCTACGGTAATTTCTACCGTGGCGCGTGTAAATAGACACTCCCAAAAAATTGCATGTTTACATGTCTTATACATATTTTCTGCTTCTAGTAAATGCCCGATTTTTGTTATGTATTAGTATTTTACCGAGTACTATTTTTTTATTTGTAAGCTAAATTTATATTAAACTTAAGTTATGCGAGGAAAATAAAAATGCGTCATATAAACTGCAAGGCGTGCATTTGATTTGAATTTTAATTGTTTTTGTTATATATATAGCATATTTTCCATACTTTCCGATTTAATTTTTGTGGAAAATTGTGGAATGTTTTACATTTTAAGGTTGCAGCACAAGTGCGAGTACAGGAAAAGAACACGAATGTATTTAATTCATGCTTTAAAAGATACACATTTTTGCTTCACTCTTTTATTTCGCTTTCTATGAAGAATATCGTTTTCCGTCTTCTAAATATTCTCGTATTTTCCCTTTGTAATCCCCTATTAATCAAACTATCCCGGTAACCTATCTAAGGCAGACACAAAACTGGTTCCATGTTGATGTTGTTGTAGCGGCACTACTAAGCCCCGCCTTTTTCGGGTCTACGTTCAATCATTTTCGTCAAGCTCAACTAACGGGAGGCCCAGGAAACGAGCTGTTTCGATGGGTTCGGACCGGAACGGCCAGATTTATATCTGGCCAAGGACTGTCACTCCAGCAACACTCCCCAAAAAGTCTTTGGGGAATTTGTATGCTGCTACAACAACGACAACAACATGGGTTCGGACCAGAGGGAGAGGGGTGTTAGCTGAGTCGGATTGAGCTGGCATGTAAAGAGGTGCTTGGTGTCGTGGGGGGACTCTCCACATGCCGGGCACTCATTGGGGATATTGGGGTCGAGTCTGGACAGGTAGCTGTTGAGGCGGCTACAGTATCCGGACCGTAATTGAGCCAGGGTAACGCGGGTCTCTCGTGGCAGTTGAAGCTCCGTCTCTTCCACAGGTGGTGATTGGGCTCGTATTACGGCATTCATAGGACGAGAGTCGAGGTAGGTGGTGACTGACTGTCTATGAATGTCGTTGATGGCTCGTCTGTATGTCGTCGGGTCCAATGGTTGGTCTACGTACTGTTGGACTGCGTCCTTGTACACGAATAGGTGCCCCCTGACGTGCCTGGGCGGAGGCTCCCCCTGAAGCAACGGTCTGTTAGGGTGTTCACTTCTGTGACACCCCACCAGAAATTGCTTACAGAGCATTTTGTTGTGTTCCCTTACGGGGAGCACTTGGGCCTCGCTGTGCAGGTGGTGCTCAGGTCCCATGTTTAATTGTAGTTTTTAATAAAGCCTCTTGGAGGTTCTAATATGTAAAAATGTAAATGTATAAAATGTAAATTTTATAATTTACGCCTTTTATGCAAGTAAATTTTTCAGCCTCATTGCGTACGTCGTTAATTAGACAAAAATTAAACAGTCGGTGTGTTCAGAAATGCATCAAGCCAAAGCATCAGACGCAATTATTTCTAAACTATAATTGATGGAAACGTGCAATATGCGCAACCACGGTTAAGTGCCTAATTGGTACTTAGTTGCGTAAATAAAGGTCTGATTATGCATACTTAGCATAACTTTGCACAACCATTTGTACCAGTGTAATAAAAATGTAACTTAAGAAAATGTGAAGCAAAATCTAAACTCAACAGATCGCTAAGTTTTGAAACACATACAAAATACATACAAAGTATATACAAAATTACAGTTTGAAGTTTATGCGAAGTTGTGCGAAGTTATGCGAAGTATGCGTAATCAGACCATAAGGCATTTCCATCAGTTGTAGTTTAGAAGTAAAAGAGACTGATGCTTTGGCATGATGCATTTCTGAATGCATCCAGTTATACCACATTGCCATTATCGTGCTGGAATAAGCTTTTAATACAGTATTGGCTAGTCGAATCGATACGACTCGACTCTAGATAAACGACTTGCATTCGACACGACACTCGCAATGTGGCTGATTATGTATGTACATATACATATGTATGTATGTATTAAAGGTCTGTAAACTACTCATACTCAATCAAAGAGGGCATGGAGGGAAGAGAAGTGAAGATATTGAGCGCTGTATACATGAAAAGGGTATTCAAACAAAATATGTTTCGAAAAAAGAGGAACATAAATCAGCAGTACCACGTTGTTAAACTTCCACAAAAAAGATGTTCTTCCATAAGTTTTTTTGAGTAGTTTTGGAAGTTTTCATTTAATGCTACATGTTAATGTTAGAGCTGACTCTTACTCCCATACCTAAACAAAAGCGTTGAGCGGAGCGGTTTTTGACGCCTTGCGTTAGCACCGAAGTGCCATACCTAAACAAAAGCGTCAACGCTACGTCAAATGCATAGGTTTGTTTGTGTGTAACACGAAAATTACAGTTTCGCCATTTTCTGCAGCCAACTTCAATACCTAACGCCCTGTCAAAATCGGATTTTGCAACCGCTCTGCGTTGGCGCAGCGTTGTTTCGGTATGCTTCATACAAATCGTATGGGCGTGAGAATTTTTTGACAGCCAGACAACGCTGACGCTTTTGTTTAGGTATGACAGTTATGTTAAATAGCCAACATGGAGACATGATAAAAAATTGGAAGGTAGAACCGCTGAGAGGAATTTTTCAAATTCTTGACGTTTGCAAGCAATTTAATTTTAAAATTTTACACACAAGCACACACATTCTCATTTTCAATCTCAAACAACAACAACTTTGAACAATTTTTTTTTACTCTCAATTTTATATTATTTTAAAATATTGGCAAACTTAAAAAAAAATATCATGGCCGACGAATTGAGAGAACGGTTTTACCTTACTGCCATCCCTAAATTGGCGCGTCAAGCGCCAAGCAACTGTCAAAAATCCTCATGCCCATACAATTTGTATGGAAAGGACAAACAAGTGAAAGAGGAAACGAGAATAAAAACGAGAGGACCTGAGAAAACGTCAAAAATTACGACGCGTTGATTTGGGGATAGCGCGCGCTGACACGGTGACAATGGATAACGTAAAGCTTAGCGCTCCAATTAAGGGACGGCAGTTACTATGTTTTTATCATGCATGGAGAAACAATTTAGGGCGCTCCGAATAATTATCCAACAGTATATTTTTATAAAAAAGTGGACTTAATTTTATACAAAGAACCAATTTTTAATTGTACAATACGATACTTTCATTTCCCAATACCACGCGCTCATCGACCCAGAGCAGAGATAAGGGAGAGCATCTCAGCAGCCTAGCTATTCGGATGTCCTCCAAGGCATTCGCCTGGAGGTGCTTCCCAGTGACTTTCCTGCTGTTGCACTGAGCTCAGAGGAGCTTACTGAACTTCAGCATGCAATTGTGGACGAGTACTTTAAAGGTGATCGCATCCGCATTTCTCCACTGGAAAATGTTACCGTGCTTCTACCCGGGAGCTCTAGCAATCCAGAAGAGTATGCTATGGGACTACTCATATCGCAGAACGAAGGCTTACATACATCTGCGTGGCGAGTGATATCCAGCAGCGTAGAGAAAGCAGACCTAAGACTAGACTATAGATTTAGCTTCATCACTGCCAGGCCGTTGCGTCAGAAATCAACATCTGCCCCTTCTGTGGAGTCTCTGCCAATGCCAGATCCACAAGCACCAGAACAACCACCACTTCCCACTGAGCCATACCCCTGCCGTTCGACACTCGCCAAATGCAGTAAGTGCCTTCTACACTGGCGCTGCTAGAGGGAATAGATATGAGATTAGAGCTCGACGGACAGCGCGAGAGCGAACCTAGGCTCTTCGGCGTCGACTATCTCAAGAGATCCCACCACCGCACTAAGCAGTAGCCCAAGTCAATCTGCATCAAGCGCCGACTGCTTACGCAGTCATCGCGAGCAGGTTTCCCATGGAATACCTGGGCATCTACTCATCCAAGAGCCTACAAAGACCGTATAAGAAGCTTTAACCCCCAGAAAAATACGGTTATTTGGGACCTCTCGTTCAAGAGGCTTAACACAGAGTTCTTAACACAGGATTTGGTAACAGCGCGGACGACATTAAAAGCTGGTGACAGCTCTACAGACATCGCCTTTGCTGCGGCCTATTTCCCAGGCGACAACAGCGACATTACTTCCGACGTTCCCGCGACTTCCGTTTGTCGTCGGCTTTTGATGCAAAGGCCCACAATGTGGAGTACGGATGTACAGAAACGAATCTTAGAGGTGAGTCTCTATTTGAGTATAGCATTTAGTGTAGACCTTAGTATCCATAATGTTGGCCTTAAGCCAACATTTCTTACCAGGGCCAGAGAGGAAGTTCTTAACATTACCATTAGGAAATTGAATTGAAAAGATCGATCTCCGGCCGATGGGTCGCGAAGAGCCTTCCATATCTGACCACAGAATTATTCGGTTGACGATAGGGGCTAAATTAGGAAGGGTCGCCCCAAAGGAAAAGCCTGCAATACATACTGGAATTAATGCTTTTAATTCCAGTTGTCGTGAGAGGTAAGAAAAAAGTAGAAAGCCAAAATAATCGGCTTTAGAACGTTCTGTGAGGATATATCACCTACCTCTGCAGGGCAAGGACTGCACAAAGCATTAGCAAGAGAAACAACAGTAATTAGGCAAGCGATTAGGACACCAAATTGTTCCTATAAAGAGAGCAAAGATGGCCTTTGCCCTGCTTTTTGCCCGCATTCCGGATACCGCTCCCGTTAAAAAAATTACTGATGTCCTCAAGAACAGACCCCCTCCACCAGACTGGATGGTGACAAAGAACCTATTCAATTTGCGATTGGCTGGATGGGCGTTACCGCAACCCGGAGATACCTCGTCCAACTACAAACCAAGCATTGCGTCACCCTGTTGTAAGTGCTCCTCGATAAGCCCGCTTTACCATCACTGAGAACAGGCAGGCAAGCGAACTGTCTTAAACTTTGCAAGAGATGGTTATGGAAGAGGTAAGGTTCTAACGACTGGAAATATGGAGAGGCTACAACCCCAGCTCTCACTAGCCCTTTTCCCAGGGATGACATAAATAAGGTAGCAAATACAAAACAGAGTTCTGCAACAAGGCAATCTGGAGCAACTTCATCATGCAGGGGCATGTAGAGGCTAATTGTGACCATGGGATTCCCGAGTATCTTTCAAGCGGAGGTGTATACTAACAACCAGTGGGCAGAAATTAACTTACTTACGTAGACGTTACTGGAATGAAATAATTATAATCCTTAGCGACAGTCAGGCAGCGCTCAAGGCACTGCCATCATTGCCCTAGCTGAATATAATGACATACAATGTGTCCAAATAGAGAGAGAGAGACCACATGCACTCCTTACCTCCAAATGCTCTCCTGTATTTTAATGGGTCATTGGGAATAAAAAATGTACTGTGATGATTGCATACCTCTTCAATTTATATCTATTTATGTATATATGTATAAATTGTTGTTGTTGTTTCATAAATAGTTTCAATAAAAAACGGCCTCAAACTCAGTTAAATCTTTGAAAATATTTTATTTAAGTTTTTAAGAATGGAATAAATTTTTGATTAAATTTAAATGTTGTTTACATACATATGTATTTCAAATCTAAACTTAAACATAAATGTCGTTCGTTGTCGTCTTAAAAATTATAACTTATTTACTTACATACATATATGTATAAATGTCATAAATAAAATTAGTGGAATTTAAGTTTCTGCATTTCTCATCTAAAGTATGCAATACTTAATACTTTTGGTGTTGTATTTACTATATAATAATTCGTAAGTGGACGTTTTAGTTGTAAAAATGGCAAATGCAAGCACTTGTTTATATTTTGCTTCCTGAATTTCAAATGTCATGCGCATAATTGACTGGTTTATTTTCATTTAGAAAATTAAGCCATAATCAGACTCGCTCCGAACGTGTGCGACGTGTTTGTACAATGTTCACTACACATACAATAATCCAAAAGAATATAGTCAACCAACTGCATATGAGTGTCATGTAAAGGCATGCTCCAGTATTGATGCGCCCATATTTACGCCGCTCATAGGAAATGGTCTCCACCAAGTAGTCCATGAAATCGAAGATTGCCCCGCAAGACAATCGACCCTTTATAACAGGCACAATATTGCCAGCTCCTTGAATGTCTTTGACCAATGATTCGCTATACTGTTTGCAAGTGATGCGAAAGCCATCCGTATAGATCGATGCATAGATTAAGGTGTAAACGGTCATCACACAAGAGATGACAGCAGCGGGTGTCCAGTAATAGGGCGATATTCCATTATGTGTTAACTCTGATTCGGCAGTCACCACAATCATGTCACCAGATCTGTGAATATTGTAGATAATAATACATATTAGGTGTAGCTAATGGTGTATAAATATGCACTAATTTTTTGTGTGTCCTATGAAAGCTTAAAAGGCCTGTCGGCGTATGAGTATACATACATATGAGCTTCCAAACCAAAGACGAAGGCTGCTTTTACATTCTTTTTTCGCAAATCACTCTTGTATGATACCAAATTTTTAATACATCGATCAGACCACCCTAATACTTTTACTACTAATGCATATCGTCTTCTTACGCGGAAACTACACAGGATTTTAGCGCGAAATTTCTATACCATAGGAAGCATGATGCATCGAGTCATTGTGCATTATTTGCTTAAAAACTTCGTTTTTTTTGTGTCATGACAGTCTTTTAGTAAATGAGTGATATTTTTTGTATTTTAATTAAGTTAGTGACATTTTGCCCAGACTTAACAATTTTTTGTTTATTTACTAAACGCTTATAATTTTTTTTTTTTTATAAAAGTCAAGCTCATACATACATACATATATAACAAGCACCATATAAATCCACATTTCAAAAATTCTTTTCAGAATTTACAAAAATCTAGGTTTTGAATTTTATATTTTGTTATTTTGTTCTCAAAAATTGTGTTTGAAAGCAGATAAATTTTTTGAATTTTTATAATTTTTGCACATAGTTTGAAATGTGCTTTTTTTATAATGAACTAGACTTTTATAAAAAAAAAAAATTTTATGCGTTAAGAGCCATTTTCTCAAGCTGCATAAAACTCTGCCTTTTAAATAAAAATTCTTTTCTCAAAAATGTGCTTGAATGGCAGATAAATTTTAGAGCAACATGAGAAAAGAAAAACTGGGCAAAATGTCGCTAGTTCAATTAGTTGCTCACAAGTGTATGTATACCTATACAAAATTACACTTAATTGATGTTACCATACTGCCTCGATTATTCATGTTGATCAACACTTAAGGCGTCAGCGAAATTTTAAAAAGTGTATCATTTTAAATTGAATTAAACACATACATACATATATATGATTGTATGCCTTTACTTCCACCCACATCTGCAGATCGAAGTGGTTCTTCGTATACACACATATACGGATGTACATGTGTATGTACATCTGTATGTATGTAGGTAAATAAGTGGGGAGTTTGTTTTGTGGCTATTAACCTTTGACAAAGTTTAAATTAGCTGCCAACGAAGCTGAAATTAAATAGATTAACCAACGAATTTACGAAGTGAAATAATTTAATAGCGTCAATAGTTGCAGCAACAGTCATTAACATAGTCCAATAAAAATTTTCAGTGGTTAGAAAACCAAAAAAAAAGATAGTTTACAAAAAACTTTAAATTGAAATTTCAATAGAGAAAACCGTTAGACAAATATATCCGAAAAAAATTGTATGCCGATTCCTATCACTCGTATAGTTCACCATATATGTATATATGTATGAAATATGAGTATTTTTCTGCAAAATAATGAACAATTTTCTAAATTCTAATCTTAATTTAAATCCTTAATCTAAATCTGAACCTAAATCTTAATCTTAATCGGGCCCAAAACCGGCCGCCAACCCACCGGTCGCCCTTTCGTTTTATCAGAGTTTGGATTTATAGCCAACCGAGCGTGAAATTTTCACTTCAAACATTTTGAGAATAAAGAGAAAACTAAGGTGACTTCGTTTTTCTAAAAAAATGTTGCCCTTCCACGGTGCAAACTGTGTTTGCAAAAAGGCATGTTTTTGTATTCTTCTCCTTGTCTAGCGCACGTATGTATTTCAACAGTTGCTCAGTTACTCTCTCAAAAGTGTTCCCACTTACAGGTTTTATGTCAATAGGAACGACTTCCTGTAAGTTCTGACTAAATCCTGTAAACCGGACTGCTATTGGAACAGACTAAATATTGTCGTTTTAAGCAATCATCCGATTTTCAGGGCAACCTTCCCACTGATAAAGGTTCAAAAGGCGGAGAATATGCCACTTTAAGACACAAACACAACATTTTCGTTGGCTTGATTTTAGAATCGAACACGACAAGAGAAAGGGGAAATCAAAAGGCGAAATTTTTTGGTAGAAACAAAACCTCTTGCGGGATTCCTTTAAACTTAAAATTGGCTCGAAAACCGCGAAACATCGAAACTTTTCCAACGCTTTTCACGTGCCACGAAAGTCAAAACTAGTCGCGAAGACGCCCTCGAAAAGTAGTTCATAAATTTCGGTGTTGCGTTAGCAATTATTGTCTTAATGTTTGTCTCATTCTTAATCTTAATATTAATCTCAATTTCAACCTAAGTGTTAATCTTAATCTAACCCGCCATCTCCTCCCTTCTTCTGTGGATTAATCGCTTCTATTGGAGTCTGGAATTTGAGCTCAACAGTGCTGTCGCTTTTATGTCCCATCGATGTTTGTGTTTACACCAACCGACCGCAAAGTAGTTTTACTTCATACATTCAATTACGCTAAGTGAAATATTATGAATTTATGTTTACATATTCGGGGACCTCTAGTGAAATTTTTTTTATAATTTTTGAGAAAAATTTTAAACCTCTAACCTGGATTTTTCAAAATAAAGGTCAGAAAGACCCGCCCTGGTACAAGTTAATGGGTTAAAATGCCCTACGAAAACTTTTGTTGCCAAAATTTGCTATACCACTATGAAAACAAATATGTCACCGTTTAGTACTTAAAATGTCGGTTCCATTGAGTAGGAAAAAAACGTTGACCACCTTGGTTTTCAAGATGGCCGCAATTCCCCAACCACATGAGTCCCGTAAATATAGGATTAATAATAATACACTGGCGCACACAAAATATGTTAGTGTTTGACCGAGCTTATCCTCAGATTTGTGGCTTGCGCCTTGATGTTTGTCACACAAAGGGGAGGGACGGACCTACAGTTTTACGCCTACTCCAAACGGCGATTGTATTTTTATGAGAAGTTGTTTTTACATAGCAGAAGTACCCTCGGAGGTTTGCCATTGCCTGTCGAAGAGCGGAGGCTGTTAGAAAAACATCTTTTCTAATTTAGATCTGCTTGGGGCAGGGATCGAACCCAGGTAGTTTGCTTTTCGAATCACTTAGCCATAGCCATCAAAAAACAAACTTTGTTTGTGTGAAATTAACAAAAACTTTAGATCTTTTGATTTAGTTTCTATTAGAAGGGGAACATTTACATACATACATAGAATAAAGATGACTCAGTACAAATTTAAGTCTGCAGCTTTAGTTCACTTCCGATGATTTGGAAACACATCCTTTCGTAGACACTCGAATATCAATGCATCCTTATATCCTTTAGGGCCAGCTTTTAAAAAAGAAAATATAGTAAGATCTAAAAATGCATTCTAACAGACTTTTTGCACGGCTAACACCAGTTTAGATGTTATCTAATGAGATTTGAGGGCCTTGATATGCGCTTGGCTGTCAGTCAAGATGGCAATGTTCTGATTCCGGTAGTTTCGACTGATATTAAAGTCTGCCGATCTTTCTATGGCGTATGTTTCAGCTTGGAAAATTGACATATGATTTCCCATGGGTTCCGAGTAACTTAGCTTCGGTCCAACTACATCTACATCAGTACCCTGTTCAGTCACTGGGCCCTCAGTGTACCAAGTTATCATGTTTTGGTTTATCCGATATCGAATTAATCTTGTGATTTTTTTTTTTTTTTTTTTTTTTTGAGAGTAGAGTTCTGGTGCACATGAACCGTTACAAGGTATGTAAATTCCCAAGGCGGCGTAAATGAATATGAAATTGAAATGGCGCTAAAACGTTTCGAAAGTGTTTAGCGTATTATATGTAAGTAGCAAATGATGCAGAATTACTCGTTATATGTATTATGCCTGATGTTGTGTTTAAATTTCGTGCTAAAATTTTGTGTAGTTTCCTCGAAAGAAGAAAATATGCATCTATTTTTTCTACACTTTGGGAGCAAATCGAAAACTTTGAATGAGTTAATTGCTCAGCTAATTGCTCGAAAAAAAACCCGTTTCCCCTATATAACATTGACTTTTTTATGAACAAAAAATATTCTCCAAACACTTTAAATTGATTTTCACTCACCTCTGTCGAATGGTGGTTGTGCCCGTTTTTCGTTTTGTTGTGCCCATACAGATGCGATATGCATGGTAAATACCCAGCACGGTGGCGAACACTAGAGGAAAGATGAGACCGTATGTGGCATAGTGGCAATAGGCTATATGACCACCCTCGAAGCTGTTGTAGGTGGTGCGTCCATGGAGGATGCAGCCGCAATTCGTCTCCGGACAAGCGTTCAAAACATAACGCCAATGGGCCCAAGCAACGCCCGATGTGATGCAGCAAATGGCAGAGGTGGCAATGATCAGCGGATACAAATAGGCAAGCGCCCTCTCGGCGCCGTACGACATGGTGCGCTTGTTATTTAAAGTTTTTCACAAAAAATAGCGATCTACATATGAAAGTAGAAATAATTTTAATTTAATAAAACACTTTTGTATTGTTTTGGTTTGTAAATAAATAAGAACAAATTTTATCACTCGCAGGTGTAAAAGCAAACGTGGGGGAATATTTTGAGACCAAATAAATAAAAAAAAGAGTAGAAGCCAAGTAACGCCACTCACAGCGCTGTACTCTGTAAATTTTCTAGTCTGGTGGCTGATAAGCCAGCGACCGCGCAGTGAGTTGAGGCATACTTAGTATGTGTGTGTATGTATGTATAGTACAAAGAACTATTGCTTCGACAGCGTTCGCACCTATGTAGGTGAGAGAACTGCCATGGCTTATAAGTATGTGTGCGTGAGCAAATTAATGAGTAGTTGCACAGGTAAGATCGCAGTAGTGCCACATGTTGGATAAGAAGTTACAAAAAAATACTTCGTTTCAGGTGGAAATTGCAAAACTATGAGAAAATGGCACTTAAAAAAAAAAACGAGAAAATAAAATTAAAGCAAGTACTTGAATGGAATGAGCTCCAAACTCTTTTATATTTATTAAAACGGTAACTTTAAACAAAATCCCTACTCAGGTGGCAACATTTGGTAGCGCATATTCCACTCATTGAGTCACTGCCCATACACCTATTCTCAGGCATATCGAATTCTATATTAGTCGTGGTTTATCTGTGTATCTACATGAATGCTTTAGCAACACCTGAGCCACACTCCAACTGCAGCCAAATGCATTATTTCTCACTACACGCAGGCACTATGAAAATAAATTATACTACAGACTTAGTAGTCAATCCGGAGTTTTACCTTAGTATACCACTTTTATGGAGAAATTTGAAATTCTTTTAATTCACACTCTAGTTAACCGCGTCACCGCAAAGAACTTCTGACAACGACGCTTTACTCAGACTGACTTGGTTTTTGACAGCCGATTGTTTGTCAACACACTCGCAGAGGCACAAATGCTCCCTGCAATCTTTTTTAGGCGGTGTCTGCCCCGGTGAGCGCGATAGAGGCACTTGGAGCGCATTTGAGCATGTGTCGGTTATTAAATTTTGACGTCACGCTTCGACATACACAAACATATTTGTAGTCAACCTTTGCTAGTTGGCGGTTTTTTAGTAAACAAATAGCAAATAGCATCTTTGGACTTAATTAACGTTACGCATAGTTAAGTAGCTCCCCAGACACAGCCTTCATTGAGTATGATTCATGCAGTCGAACTTGCCTATTGCCGTCTCTCAAAGCTCGTGCAGTTTCTCGCACACTCGATTAGATCTGTTCTGGCGGTAGGGTTAATTACATACATACATATGTACATACATTCTTCATGAATTAGTTAACAAGTTTATGAAATTTATGAATGAAAGTGGAGGCACCCGAACCTGGGTTGCCACTTTGGTAAAATGTTACCAGAATTGGTAGAAAAAATTTGGGTTGGTAAAAAGGTAATTTTTTTCTCATTTTGGTAGATTTTTGTTCTTGTTGTTATCTTTATATTATAAATTTCTTTGCATATTTATTATATACTTACATACATACGTATAAATGTATATCGATATAAGGCGAGCATATCGTGCTTTATTGAAAACTCATTTTACTGGAATCCCGAAGAGCTTTTGATTGCCTAAATATTTTAAATTAATATTTAAATATAAAAAAAAATTTACAGGTATTACACTATGATCGCAAAAAAATCAAATCAACGCCATTTTTCATCAATTTAAATTGTTAAATAAAAAAAACACAAAAGACTGGCGGCAAAAAATGTAAACAAATCAACGGGAATTTTAAGTAGTACATTGGCTGTACTCAAATATTATTTGCTATAAAACTCCCTACTTTCAATTGTTCTAAAAATTCAGAATAAAAAGTTCGAAATTTAAACGAAAATTTTTTGAATTTTTCTAAATGTTTTTATATTTAGTTTGAATCCTTGATTTTTATGGATTTAGTTAAAGCAGTGATTCCCAAAGTGGTCCAGGTGGACCCCCAGGGATCCCCGGAATACTCGACGTGAAGAAAATATGTGGATCCTTGAGTTGTAAATGGAGGTCCACGAAAATTTATCTGATTTCGATGGAAAGCACCAAAATCGTTGCTTGATAGCCTCTTTATTAAACTTTAATTTTTTTGAGTGGTGTATAGTGCTTTTGACGCACTGCTGCACTTACCGTCACTTTGTTTTTCATACGTGGAGACCCCTTAAAGGCCACCTGCAGATTAAAAAGAACCGGATGCTGATATGACAATGAGCACTCGAGCTTTGCGAACACATAAAAAACGGCTTTCAAAATACATATATATTGTTATAGAAGATTGTTATGAATCTAAATGGTTTTGAATGTTAATCACAAATATCAGTGTCAGACGAAAGAGGTTTAAAAAGGTTGCCAACTGTTTAAAAGTTTAAATTCAAACTATTCAATAATTTAAATGAATTATTACAATATGGGTGTCAATCAAAATGGTCTTGAAAGGGCTTCATTTCAAAACTACATGTAAGAGGTTTCCATCTGTTTAAAAGCTCAAATTCAGGGGATAAGTTAATTGAAAAAGTATGGCAAGTGAGATGTTTAAGAAAGTTTTAGTTTGAAAATATTTTGAAGATGGTTAAACAAATTTTAAACCTCCTGTTTTTTAATTGAGTTTTCTTGAAATAAATTTTACTCAATGTAGCACGTAGAATTTTCATACACTCAGCGAAGCGGGTGAGGGCAATCTAGTACATGAATATATGTATGTATAATATGCATATGTATGGATGATATAATAGCTCTGATCCAATACTTTTCGTGTAAAATCCTGGAAAATGGTCAAACAGCAAAATCACTCTCTGAAGTGAGAATAAAAAGTGAGTAACAGCAAAACGTACGGAACAAAAAAGAATCGGGTAAAATCCTGCAACATGAACTGCATTTACATGAACCACAGATTATATTCCGAAAAGAACTACTAAATTTAGGAATATATACAAATAGAAATGCTCAAACTATAAGCT